GTGTAAGAGGTGGACAACCCCCAACCGTACCACCAACGCATCACTCGCCTTGACCACCGGCCCCACACAACCCCCATTCCGGATTCATGCCGCGCGCAAAGGAACGCAACGCACGGAGACCGCCACCAGCGCTTTCGACGTGTCGACTCTGGCGCTCGCAGACGCCCGTGGACCTCGCGCGGCCCTGGATTTGATTCTCCCCGCGTGTTTTTTTTATTTACGCAGCCGCTGGATTTCGCCGCCCCTCACTCAAGCGGACGACGCGGCTCCTCAAAGCGCGCACAGCGGCGCTGGCCAAAAAACGTCCCGTCGGCTTTTGTTCTGCAAAGGTTGTGCAAATAGTTCGCCCTCACAAACGCTCCTGCAATTTACAGCTTTACTATTTACATTCGGTTCAGCCCCCCTCCCCCCCGTACGAAGGTCACGGATCCCAAAAATATCCCAGCGTAACTTACGGGAGAAGGGTTTGCACCTTTCTAATGGGGGGGGGGGGGGGGGGGGGGAGCTGGGGGGAGGTGGTCTGTCGGAAGAGAGATTTGTTGGGACATCCCAACGCTGCTCTCCGAGGGCCGATGTGTTTCGTTTGTCTTTCTTGATCTCTATGACGGCCATCCACGATTGGGGCTTTGCAAGCCACAGTGTGACAGCGTTCGTGTATGTGGTGGGGAGCGGTGTGTTGCGGTTAGCGCGCTGCGCTATGAACCCGCCGGCCCCAGTTCGATTCCCGCTCACGGTCAAAATCAGTGACGAATATCTGAACCGGTCCTCGGCCTCCCCTAGGTCGACTCAGCCTCAGATGAGTACCTGGTGCGGTGCGTAAACATCACCCCTGGGGAATCAAAGGCGACCGGGCGTGCTGTTGGCCACCCACCCCCTCGTGTACAGTTCTGGCCTTCATAGGTGCTCGCTAACAGCACTTGCCCCAACAGTCTGTTAAGGCTATATGGGGGATCTTTGTCTTTTTTGCTTGCCTTGTGAGGGCCTCCATGCTATATCCCTTGATTTCTTTGCGGTTCATTGTAATTGGCTGTCATGTGGCTGGCTGGTCACCGCCATAGCAATGTGTAATTTCCACCGCTCGCTCAAGGCTAATAATGGAGATGAGCACCATTCAAATGCTACCGCGTGTGGTCTGCTGGGCTAAAGACAGCGGTGGAAATTCCACATTGCTATGGCGGCGGCATATGTCTCTCTGCAAGCGGTGAGCATCGTGCACATCGAATGATTGTGGGCCTCCACATTTGGTCAGGTATTTGAGGGGAAGGCAACACCGGGAATGAGGAGCGGCTGTGAGAACTGATCAATTTTAAACCCGTACAACTCTCGTCGAAGCTTGGGAGAGCGCGGCGATGATTTTGGCAACTTCGCTGGTGTCTCGAGTTCAAATTCCAGTTTGAGTCGCTTATGAAGCCTCTTTACTCGCTCGGGGGAATTGGTTTGATGATTGTTGAATTTGTTTATTGTAAGTTTCATCAATGTTCGTTTAACACGTAGGCTTTCGTGACCAATGTTATTCATAATAAAGAATGTTGGGTTAGATCGCGTAAGTATAAATGTATCGTAACCCCCCACTACCCGACAGAGCCAGTAAGGTTTGTCACGTAAACAAAATGCGCCAGTTAGTTACTACTTCAGCCCACCGGTGTGTTGGAAAGTAAATCCACAACATTTACAATTTGAGTCCGACGTTACGCTGGGCGATTTGCCAGAATAAGTAATGTTGCGTTGCGTAATTTAAATGTTATTGACGTAACGTTGTATACTTTTTAATGTGTCCATCTGTGAAGTGCTCTGTGACGATGTCATTGTGAAGGGCGCAATACTAAATAAAGTTTGATTGATTTATTGCTGTCGCCCCATCACACACACAAGGCCAAAAACGTTGGTTGGTGAGTCAACAGTGGTTGTTCTATGGAGAGGCTGGGGCACCTTGCAGGAATGTGGAATTTCCACTGCTGCCTTAGGGAAACGAGCACTGTCGTGTGGTCATTTCAGCAGAGCGACATGAACACATTTCAGGGTTTTGTTCGCATGCAAGTGATTCCTAATGTGTCTTCAGTGCTATTGATTTGGATGCAGAATCCATAAGGTGTCAGATAATTCATGGCACTATAGGATGAGCAACATGGAAGCTCTAAATGGTATTTTGCATAAAATAATGTAAGGTTGTGATGGGTGGGACGCCTGTGCAGGCTGGAGGAGGGCAGGTCACCGACACGCGAATTGCAGTAGCACCCGGAGGTCAGGGACCATTTTTTTTGCACTCTGTTATTTTACTAGAAGCGACCTGGCCACAAATGATAACTCAACTTCGTGGCTTATCATGTGGAAATGTATAGCAGACACATTTATAGCAGCCAAATACTCTAAACGCATTTTTATTCTAAATGAAGAGGGATAAAACCGGAGGACCTGGAGAAAAATCCACGCAACCACGGGGCAGAGAGGAAGGCAAGACACACCAAACCCAAATATACAGCAGGTGGTCAAGGTCGGGATCGAAACCGCGACCTCCTGCAAACCAGGCGAGGGAGATAAGATCTCGCCACGGCGGCAACCAACGGGAACGCCTGAAGCCAGACGGCGCTAACGATGTCAGAGCGGTCCCTGAGCGAGGCGCTGGGACTGTGCGCTCAGGGGGTGGTCGAAGACCCCGATGGCGACACGTACACCGCGGAGTCTGCATGTCGGCTGTGCAGCAGCTGGTGGCTGTGGCACAGCTGGTGCAACCGCCGGTGGTTCTGGCATAGAGAACCGAAACAAGGGCGACACGTGGCCGTGCCGTTCTCTTGGCTTGACCCAAATAGGCAAATCGGTGGTCAGAGGTCTGCCGATTTGCATTGTCGAGAGGAGAGTGAGCCGGCCAGGCAGCACCGGTTTCTGGGTGGAAGAGGCGCACTGCGGTCCCCTGCACGGGAGGCTCAAGCGTTTAATGCTGCAGGGCCTTCCGAGAGGGTTGTAACGCGCTCTGCCACTGTAAACGCAGGGAGCCCATTGGCACAAGGCTCGCCTATGTTTTGGACGTAGATAATTAGCCAGCATTTCCTCTCGCCGAGCACAGGGCAGCTGTTGTTGTTGTTGAATTCCGTTAATGAGTGCAGGCTTGTTCTCCACGCGACAGGGTTGAAATTTCAACGCACGTACAGACACGCGCGTACACACGCTATGGAAGCTGCCGTGGCGGAATGGTTATCAATTGCAATCCACAAGTCGCCGGTTTGATTCGATCCCCCGGCGCGACAGCTCAAACAACGGTGCACGTTTCTTAATCCGCGCCGCCCTCTGTCTACTCAGCAATGAGAACGATATTTTACCGTTCACGTGGAGTGTGAAGGAGTTCAATGCAGCGGATCGGCATGTCGCGTGCGGTGGGTTAAAGAGTGGATACTCCTGCCGCTTCTTCCGAAAATGTATTGGCGAGCATGAAAGAGTTAGGCCACAGGCCCTCTATAGGGGCTGCATCTCACGAAGGCCGTTCTACCAGCAGATCCGTGGGCATGGCAATTGCAGGGTTGCACCGTTACCGCTTACACGCACGTGGGCCCAAGCAACGTGTACGCGAGCATGGCAACCACCGATATTCACTGCTCAGTGCTCGCGAGGGTCACGACAGCGCCGGTGCCAGGCTAGGTGCACTTTGAAGCCATGCACGTTTGTTATGTCTAGCTAAGTGAGCACTGTCTAAGTTAGAGTGCCAGACTCACAATCAGGAGGGCATGAGTTGAACTCCTGGCAGGTGTCGCTCAGTCACCTTTCCGCTGATCTCTGGAGGTCACTAAAATGGGAAATAGTTCATGGCAAGCGAGCAGCGGTGGCCGTACGTTGAGATTAGCCCCTATCGCGGGAACGTGGAATTTTGACCGCTGGCTCGGGGGGGGGGGGGGGTTGTCATCGAGGTGAGCACCACTCCGATGCTCGCGTGAGCAGGGAGGGTTAGAGGCTGAGTATGAACGCAGCGATGATGACGACGATGACGGTGGTGGCTCGCGGAGTAACAACGGTGGTTCGCGTGCGATGTACCGCTAAGGCTGTCGAGTCAAGATCTTCGGGAGGCGCGGAATTAGCCACAGTGGACGTTGATTCACCCAGACAATAATCATTGTTACCATTTGCACGGCACAATTAATCCGTAGAATCCGAATGCGCAACCGTGTGTGGAAATCAGGAAATAAACAGAACCTGTAGGGCAAACGGCCAGAACTACAACGACTATTACTTTTTTTATTTACCAGGTAAGTCCCACTGAGCTACACAGCTCTTATTCAGAAGCGACCTGGCCACCAATGATTGCTCAACGAAGTGGCTTACTCTAAACGCGTGTTTCGACATGTGGAGGGAAAAACCGGAGGACCCCCGAGAAAAATCCACGCAGGAAGAGAGAAAGAGAGAGACGCAAACTCCAAATATACAGCAGGCGCCAGTGTTGGGACAGAACGCACGACCTACTGCATACCGAGCGAGGCAGTCAACATCTCACCACCGCAGTCAATTTCAAGACGGCACTGACAAAATCCCGAACGACTCTTGGGTTGCGTTGCGCCGCGTGAAGTCGCTCGCCACGTCGATGCGCGTGTGGGGTGACGTCGCCCCCCCCTCCTGCCGGAGTGTCCACGTGCCCACCAACCAACCGCGTCCATCATTCAGACAGTGGTCTCATTCAGCAAGGGGCTCTTCACCGTCGCCGCTTCGCCCCCTGCTCACCTGTACAAATGCTGGGTTTGTTTAGCCGAGCTCGCAGGAAAGGGGAAACGCGAGTCCGAGCCCCCCCACCCTCTCCGGTATTTCCATCGCCGCCTGGATGTATTCTGTCACTTTAACTACAACACGTCAATACACAGCAGCAGCATGGGTACATCCGAATTCTTGTAAAATAATTTCAGACCCGGAGGGCTGAGTAGGTGGGGGGGGGGACGTCTAAGACGTTCCGAGCCCCAAAAACAGCCCAACGCACTCCCCCCTCCCCTTCCACTCCGCACCCCGGCACACGGCCCCGACTCTAAACAAGCTTGGCAGCGGTTAACTTTAGACTTCTATATATATACACACGCGCGCATGGGCAGTGTGCGAGCAAGTTGCGATCACCGCCCGTGAGTGATGTGACTGCAGTTTGCGTGGCTCAGAAAACAGACGTACTGTGGAGAGGTGAACCAGCCTCCCCGTCAGTGTCAGAGCAGCGGCACCGGTAATAGAGAGCAGCAGTGGTAAGCGCAGCAGCAGCATCATCAGCAGCATCAGCAGCAGCCGCTTCACAGCGATCGATGGCGTCAATTCATCTGGTTACTGTGCTGGCAACAGCTTTCTTCGCTCTGCATGGTCCGCTGGTGAGACCACGCGCGTGTGTGTGCGCGCGTGTGTGTGTATACCCGGTGCGGTGTATAACGCATCGCCGCTGGGAAGACAAAGGCGGCCGGACGTGGTGCTGTCCACCCACCCGCTCGTGTGCCGTGCCAGCCTTCATAGGTGCTCGCGAACAGAATTCGCCCCAACAGTCTGATGAAGGCTACACGGGGGATTTTTGTCTCTGCGGGAGTGTGAGTGGCTGGGGTGCCTCTCACTGCCAGGGTCACGAGTCCAATGTGTCGGGTTCTGTGTGTGTTGTGTGTGTGTGTAGGGTTGTTTGTGTCGTGTGTGTAGGGTTGTTTGTGTTGTGTGTGTAGGGTTGTTTGTGTTATGTGTGTAGGGTCGTTTGTGTTGTGTGTAGAGTTGTTTGTGTTGTGTGTGTAGAGTTGTTTGCGTTGTGTGTGTAGGGTTGTTTGTGTTGTGTGTGCAAGGTTAGAGCTCGATCAAAGACGGCTAAGCCCCAGACTCATCACGACTGAAATCATCGTGCAATCATTGTTGGTAATAGGAATTGTCATCAATTACACGTCACCACTACTAATCCACAATGCTCACTATCATCATCACCACCATCAACACTACAATCATTATCATCATCGTCGTCATCATCAAGCACAACGCTCATTCATCATGGATTTGGTCAAATATGCCAATGCATGAACCTCTTGAAAAATTGTCTTGAGACGTAGGAATAGTTTCATGGAATTATTAAGGACAATTATCATCACCATCATCGCGATAGCCGTACACGTAACGGTGATTATGATAATTATCATTAGAAGAATCATCCCATTATTATCATCAGCACCACCATCATAATCATCATTAGCGTCACAGTCGTAAACCTATGCTGATGATCTACATCAACAGTATTACCAACACCATCATCATCGTCATCATCTCTCAGAGGTGGGTAAATCGAGCACCACCACCTGACGAGATCACCCGACGAGGTGCATAGAAGCCAAGGGCGCGCGTTGTGCTTAAAGACGGAGCGACCGCTCTCTCTCCACAGGAATGTGTCATCTCATATCGCCAGCGAGGCCCCACACAGAGAGCCCAGATCGTGCCCTGTGTCTGCTCTGGCCCGAGCCATCTGTGCGGGAGCGGCGGATGGGCGGTCGCGCAGCACTGCGGCAATTGCGTAACCAGCGGTGGCTCGCCGATGAATTCCAAGAACACGAAACCGGGCGTCGTTAATGGGCGGCGTTGCGTAATGCCATCCCGTGAAGGAGCCCTGTCTCTCGCGCGCGCGCGCCTCGGGTTCACAGACCGCGAGTGGGCGGGCGGTTGACGGGAGGGCGCCGTGCGCGTGACCCTCCTGCCGCCCGTGCCGCACGGGAACGCGCAAGCAGGCGGCGATTAGAGGATGAGAAGGCGGTGGTTCACGTGAACCACGTCCTGGTGCGTTACAAGGGATTGTGCGTCGTGCTCTGCGGGGCCCCCACGTAGCCCAGATGGCCCTTGCAAAGAAGCAATGTGTTCTTGTGATGTGTCTCAACAGGGCCTGAACTGCATCGCAAGGCTCAATAAAGAATTCGACTGTTACTATCTGTATAGTAGCATCAAATATATGAACTACTACTAGTAGTAGTCGCTATGTTGTTAGTGACGGGTTCTGTAAATGTTGCTCATGCAATGCCCATTAAGAGGGTGGGATCCCACTAAGATCCATTCTGTGGTTTTGATACCGAAAACCAAAATTATATCGGGACAGAAACTTGCTATTTATCCAGCCTGGTTGATCTGCGGTTGTCATGTTAAAAGTATTGTCCTTCCCACGGAAATGTTGAATTTTCAGCACTGGCTCCAGACCTCTAGCAAACATTCGCACTGCGCCATGTGCTCATATGAGCCAGGAGACTCGGATGTATCTCTCTCTCGTGTTGATTATTTTTGTTCCGACTTGCGGGCAGTCTCAAATGCGTGGCTCGCATGCGCCCCCCATAACTTGCGGGGCTATGTCCCCAGCTCAAAGCTGTGCGTGACCCGACCGCTTGTGCCAACGATGCACGGCAGCCGTAGCGCGGAATCGAGCCGTCGATTTCCGTGCAAAACTGGCTCAGTAACCCCCCTCCGCCGATTAATTAATTTCAGTTGCCAACAAACATAAACCCCAGCGTGGAATGCGGGGAATGTGGCAGCTCCCTCCCCGCCACCTCCTGCACTCTCGTTAACTCGTCTACTGCCCACTGCCCTCCGCCCTCCGCTCGCCGCCTTGCAGGGCCATGCTCGTGTAAGCCGAGGGTGTGAATTCAATCGCGTGTCTTGCTTGGCGCGTGGCCCAGATGTTCTCGGCGCAGCAGGACAGGCCAGACGGGGTGGCAGTGAGCGGGGCAGGGACGAGGATATGATGAGTGAGGGGGTCTCTCCCTCCAGTTTTCCTCACCGCGCTGTCAGACTGCACGCAAGTCGAGGGTTCGGGTCACGCAAACCTCGTCAGATCGCTCGACCACACCCTGGCTGCGATGTCTCATCCCCACTGTGCTCATCCACCACCAGACTGCAGTTCACAACAACAACACCCTCACCAACCCACTCACTCGCAAACTCGCCCAATCACTCACCCGCTCAACCACCAGTGCGCACTGCAGGTCACCCCACTTCTCTTCCTGCTTCTTCCCTCGCACCGCTCCACTTTAGACTTTCCTCCTCACATCATGATCATCGTCATCATCATCGTCTATTTTCCCAAGCTCTTGTAATATAAACAATATAGGACTGTATTGACATGCGTTTCGTGTATTCCCGTGGTCCTGGCTTAGGCTGATAATTCCGACTCCAGAGCAGCTCAGCAACATTCTACAAGATGTCCAGGGAAACATTAAGCCACAGCTGGTAAATCTTTTGCGTACAACTAAGTATGAACCATATCGACCAGGGGGGAGGGCCCTTGTCGACATAAATCTGGTGCTTCACCAGTGATGCTTCAAGCGAGGCTGCCTCTGCTGCTGATGAGACCCTGAATGACGAAACCGGTACACAGTTTGTCTTGTTGTTGTTGAACCCACGCTGCGGAAATGATGCACTCCCAGACAAAAGGACGCGTGGCTGATGGGATATGTAAAACATAATTTTTGATATATATATTCGTTTAATGTCCAAGGAACGAGGCGAATTGTTTTCTTATTTTATACTAGCCTTTTGCCCGGCCAAGGACGGGTGTATTGCAGTAAATCTGAAAGTTGCAAGCGAAAAGCAGACCGCGACGTGATATTCATTGCATTAATGCGTGTGCCATTTGTAAGGGCGCGGTGACACAGACCTATTTCATTCTAAGGTTGTAATCCCTTGTTCATGATGACGTCCTTTTAACTTTGATGTCTCAATAGCGTCACGGAGATCACGTGACGTGAGGGTTCTGTAGTGAGGGTTGTCAGTTGACGCCGAGGCGCGAGGAGGCGCCTCGGCCCCCCATGTGGAGTGACGTCAGCCGCTAATTATTATGAATGGAGGGGGTGTCCTTTTGGGGGACGTCACCTGCTCATGATTATTAATGAGGGGAGCTGTCCGATGTGGAGTGACGTCACCTGCTCATGATTATTAATGAGGGAGTACTCCATATATAGAGTGACGTCACCCGGTCATGATTATTAATGAGGGGGGCTGGTCGATGTGGAATGACGTCACGAGCGTTAAGGACAGACATATTTGGGTGATTATAGTAGGTATTCGTCAAATCTTGATGGCTGTGTTGAGTTAGTCGTGATGCAGCGCGAGTGATGGATTGACTGTCCGTGCAAAGACAAAGATCCCCTGTTTAGCCTTAACAGACTGTAGGGGCAGGTGATGTTAGCGAGCATCTGTAAAGGCTGGCACGGCACACGAGGGGGTGGGTGGCCAACACCACGCCCAGCCGCCTTTGTCTCCCTAGTGACGATGTTTACACATCGCACCAGGTCCTCATTTGAGGCTGAGTCGACCTAGGGGAGGCCCAGGACCGGTTCAGATAAGCGCCACTGATGTTCGCCGCGCTAACCGCTACACCACCGCTCTGTCCGTGCACCACCGCCAGCAGCCGCAGCTTCTGGAGGCGGAGGCGAGGCAGGCGCGGCAGGCGGACTGCCCTTCCCCGTGCCGGTGCCCCGCGGGCGTCGCCCCCTCGCGGTGCCCCGGGGGCGCGGCTCCCGTGCGCGACGCGTGCGGCTGCTGCGAGGTGTGCCCGAGGCTGCGCGGGCAACCGTGCGGCGAGGGCGCCGTGTGCGACCAGCGAGCCGGCCTCGTTTGTCGCTACCGCCAGCAGCACCACCACCAGCAGCAGCAGCGTCGGCACGAGTCCGGTAGAAGGGGTGGCACGGGCGTGTGCGTAGGTGAGCAAGGTCGCATCCGCCCAGTGCGCTAACAGCTGCACCACCGCTCCTCCTTTTCTCGAACGCCTAAACATAAGCTACATTTTTTAAAAAAAAATGTAAAGTAAGAACAAAGAGTGAGACGTTAAGTAATGGGTGCGGAATGTAGCGGTGATGGTGGCCCATGGGCACGAAGCAAACATTATTCTGGGTGCTCTTTAGCCCCCACCGCTCCCCCATCTACCCCGCCAACCCCTACACCCCATCAACTTCATAACAGTCTGTTTAACGCGTAGGCCAGTTAGTAAGGTTTGTCACGTAAACAGAACATGTCCATTCGTTACTATCACAGCACGCCGTCGTGTTGGAGAACAAATCCACAACATTTACAATGAGTTCGACGTTTCGCCAATAATTACGACAATCATTAGCATGCAACAGCCATATTTGTGGAAAAATTCTCCTGTGTCGTCTCTTAGAGGGATAGATGTTACGACGTCACTTGTGAGCCATTCACGTGCGAAGGCGGGGGTGGGGGCAATAGATACACATTGAAATTTAAATTAATTAATCTCTAACAATGCCCATAGGCTTAAATTGCCCATTGAATAACATCCATCATAGGCATACATTTCCAATAGACTAACATTGCCCATGGACTAACATTGCCCATGGACTAACATTGTTCATATGCTGACAGTTCCCACAGGCTAACATTGCCCATAGACACATTTTCTAAAGACGAGCATTTCCCATAGGCTTACACTTCCCATAGGCTAACATTACCCGTAGACTAACATTGCCCATAGATTAACATTGTCAATCATAGAATTGCATTGCCCATAGACTAACATTCCCATAGACTTAACTTATCCATAGGTTAACATTGCCCATCAGCTTAAATTTCCCATAGACTAACTTTGGCCATCAAAGGCTTATATTGCCGATAGACTAACATCGCCAATAGACTAACATTGCCCATAGGCCTACATTTCCCATAGACTAACATTGCACATCATAGCCTCACGTTTCCCGTAGAATAACATTGCCCCTAAACTAACATTTCCCATAGACTAACGTTGCATAAAGGCTTACATAGCCCATAGACTAGCATTACCTATATACTAACATTGCCCATATGGTAACATTGTCTATAGGCTTACACTGCCTATTGCCTTACATCACCCATAGAATAACACTGTCCATCATATTGCCCATAGGCTTACATTGCCCCTAGACTAACATTCTCCATAGTCTTACACTGCCCATAGACTAACATTGTCAATCATAGGCTGACATTGCCCATAAGCTTACATTGTCCCTAGACTATTATTATCCACAGGCTTACATTGCCCATCGGTTAACATTGCCCATAGACTAAACATTTCCATTAATAGGCTTACATTTCCCATAGACAAACATTGCCCAAAGGTTTACATTGCCAATAGACTTACATTGTCCATTATAGGCTTCATTGCCCATAGACTAACGTTGCCGATAGTCTTCCATTGCGCATATACTAACATTGTCCTCAGATTTACGCTGCCCATAGGCTAACATTGCCCATAAAATAGGGTCACAATGCCCATAGACTAACATTGCTCATAGGCTCATATTTCCCTATATTATGTCCATAATAGGCTTACATTGCCCATAGACTAAGATTGCCCATAGGCTTACATTGCCCATATACTAACATTGCCCATAGACTAGCATTACCCATAGGGTAACAATTTTCGCCCTTTCTCCTCCATAGGAGCGCAGACTACAGTGGTTCCACTGCTATGGTCCACGGTTGCTAACGTTGCATTAATCGGCGCCTCCCTATTTCCCTCCCCTGGTCATCCCAGGTCGCCGTGATTCTGGCACTGCCGTGGTGGCACCGCCGCTGTCACAGCCACCACCTCCCGCACGGTCGTGCGAATTCGGTGGGGTGCTGTATCGCGACGGCGAGAGGTTCCACATGGGCTGCGAGCAGTACTGCTCGTGCCGTGCCGGCGGCCTGGCCTGCGTGCCCGCCTGCCCCCAGTCCGAGATGCTGCCCTCGCCCAGCTGCCCCGAGCCGCGGCGCGTGCCGCCCACGCCGGGGAAGTGCTGCCACGAGTGGGTGTGTGGCCAGCCAGAGGCGGCGGGCGCCGGCAAGCGGACCAGGGAGGTGCTCGGAGGGCACGACGCGATGGCCGGTACGGGTGACAGGGCAACGCTCACGGTCAGGCGCCGGTCTAGCCTGGTGGGCCGCTCAATTCTGAGGGACGATGGAGTGAGTCTGTGAGGGGAAGTTGCAAATATGATCAGAGTTTAAAAATGTCTTTAAAAATATATAAATATTGTATTACTTCATGCTAACACTTCATTGCTTATTCATCTCCCAACACTACCCCATCTACCCCCCCCCCCACACACACACACACAAAAGAAAACACAGTCGACAAGTATCTCAAACTCAACTTCACGAATGTTGCCCGCTGCTATCCTGCATGCAGAAACGTTGTAGTTCTATTCGTGCACGTGACTAGCATTTCCAATTGGCTTACATTGCCCATAGGCTTACATTGCCCATCATATGCTTACATTGCCCAAAGGCTAACATGTCCCATATGATTATATTGGCCATATACCAACATAACCCATAGGCTAACAGTGCCCATAGACTAACATTGTCCAATGGCTTACATTGCCCATAGACGAACATTGCGCATAGACTAACATTTCCCATAGGCTTATTGCTCTTAAACTAACATTGCCCATAGACTAAAATTTCCCAAAGACGAGCATTACCCATATCCGTACACTGCCCATTGCCCAACATTGGCCATAGGCTTAAATTCCCCAAAAACTAGCATTTCCATAGACTAGCATTACCCATAAACTTACATTGCACATAGTCTAACGTTGCTCATAGGCTTACATTGCCCATAGACTAACATTGCCCATAGACTGAAATTGCCCAAAGACTAATATTGCCCATATACTAAAATTGCCCATCAACTCGCATTGCCCATAGACTAACATTTCCCATAGACTAACATTGCTCATAGACTAATATTGCCCATAGATTAAACGTTGTCCATAGACTAATATTTCCCATAGGCTTAGTATGCCCATAGGCTTACTTTGCCCATCAACTAACATTGCCCACAGACTCGATGCCAATGTCGATGAGAGAGCCTTAGTAGAGAGAGAGTTCGTGTAGTTTCGCCGTTTCCCCTCCATTGAAGGAGCTCAGACCACAGTGGTTTCTCTGCTATGGGCCACTGTTTGGATTGCTACCGGTGCAGTAATCGGCGCCCCCTCCCTCCTTTTTACACAATCAGAAGAAACAGAAAGATGCTTGGTTATTCGGCAATTTGCTTCGTTCATCGTGTCGATTTTTTCGTTTGCTTTTGTGCCCCTTTTTTAATGAAAGATATCACACGGTTTTCCCATGTAACATAAATCCCATTTTGTGCAACTGTATTCATAGACAGAAACAAGAAAAAAGCATCCTCAAAAAAACATTACCAGATTCCCTGCATTAGTCACATTACACAAAGCACCCTCGGTAGTCCAACTTATCAAAAAGGATGCGACACCCCCCGTTAACTTAGTGTACCGAAATTCCAGCCAAATTCTGGCAGAAAACAGGGCCTTGAAGATGCGACATTGGCTGGATGAGCCGCTTCCTTCAATTGCGGATTTTCTTGCCCTATAGATAGCCAGTTTGGCGTTGTTCATGAAGTTCACCAACCCTTCTATATCTTTAGTGCCCTCATTCCCCCTCTATCCAAAAACAAGAATTCGAGTAGGATATTTCGTAGCAGCTTATAGAGTGAGTCTAGGCTTTTGCAGGGTATGTATTGATGCGCCACTGTTTCGAGCTCACCACAGAATACACATTCTGGATTTGGTCTTAATTCCAGCACGGGGTTTTTTCCCTATGCGTGTCCCACCTCTACGAGCATCTGGGAATGGCGAGACCCTGTCTTTGCCACCAGTGCTCTCCATATATCCCCCAGGCATGGGTGCGATGTCCAACTTCAACTCTGTGAGATCTTTAAAAGGACCGAACTCATCCCCACTTGACTCTGGAGATAATGAAGCTGAATCCTCTATAAAAAAAAAATATATTCAGTTGGAGCGGGGTCTACTGCCACCTCGCGTGAGCTCTGTGGTGAGGGCTCTCTCCTTAGTCATCTGTTGGGTGTTTTTCTTTATCAACCTTTTTCACAGTCCCCTCGTTGCTGGGCTGGGCATTTTCTGTCTTCGGGACGTTTTTCTTTTAACATGCCCCTCTGCTTTGCATAGGTTGAATTTTAATACGTCCCTACAGTAAAACCGCCTATGGGCCCTTCCTCCGTTTATTAACGTAAAGGGGCCCTCCCCCAGCTGCCCATTGGGCACCAGCATGTAGACCTGCCTTCTGAAAAAGACATGCCTCAAGGTGGGATTTTTTGCAGCCCAAAGGCACACGCTGTACACTTGAGGTCAGTGTATTCAACTTAGCCAGGTTGTCTCATATTTCTTCATCAGGAATGTAGGGGGGGGGGACGTTGGATATGATTACGCGTACCGACGGCGATGACAGTGGCTCCAAGGTGAGGTGCCAATCGTTAACAGTCAGCCCCTTCCCCATGGCGGTATTTGCCATTTTCTTGGACTCCATGAAGAAAATCGCCTTTCCGCTCATCTTGGAGGCCTACTTTATTGAGCCTGCAGGCACGACGGCGGCCAGCGCTTCGACATAGACGTTGATCGGGACATTGGTGGAAGCCGGGCAGTGGATTCCACCAGCTGCTGCTGCGGGCGCCTTGCAGGCCCCGGAGACTGGCCTTGCGTAGGCATGGTAGCTTCGCATACGTTGTTACTGGTCGGGTGGACATTTGCATGTGTGTGGGATGTCACACACAACTACTAAATCAAATCTCTGTTTTCAAAAGCCAGGAAAATAAAGAAATACGCATTATTCTATAAAGATGGTCTATCTTGTTTTGACCACCTTCTCTTACCGTTAATTCTATTCACACAAAGCTCCCCTGGCGAGAGGGTAACAGAATTGATAGTCCTCAGTAGCTTTCAAAGAGAAAACAGAAAATGTAGAAAAAGGAGCACGCCAAAAAAATGATAACGTGAACACACAGTACTAAATAAAAGGGGTTCAAATGGGATGCACTGTACTCACACCAACTCGTGTGGCAGTGCTAACACGGATGTGTTCATGTGGAACCACACCAAACAAAATATTAAATATCAAAAAACTTAATTAATAGTTTGAAGAAAAAAACTCAAATCGAAAATATATATATAAACGTGTAATTATGAAATCAACTATAAAATTAAACTGGGGAATGTGCAGAGAACAAAGACATTGCACTGCAGAGCCACGCCCTGGACAGTGAAACAAACCAGAAAATAAGAAAGACTCAAAAACGTTGACTAAATGAGCAAACAAATGATCACAATGTGTATAAAGCAAAACACGTACTGTTGATGAAAAGAAAATCCAACAAAAAAGGTGAATAAAATAACGTTTTTAGATGTAAGGCCAGGAGCTCTGCGTGAACACGTCTCGCTCACTCTCCCTCCCTCCCCTGGTCATCCCAGGTCGCCGTGACTCAGGCACTGCCGTGGTGGTGGCGGCGCCGCAGCCGCCGCCGCGGCCACAGCCACCGTCACCACCTCCGGCGCGGTCGTGCGAATTCGGCGGGGTGCTGTACCGCGACGGCGAGAAATTTCGCGTGAGCTGCGTGCTGCACTGCTCGTGCCGCGCCGGCACCCTGGCCTGCGTGCCCGCCTGCCCCCAGTCCGTGCTGCTGCCGTCGCCCAGCTGCCCCGAGCCGCGGCGCGTGCCGCCCCCGCCTGGGGAGTGCTGCGAGAAGTGGGTGTGTGGGCAGCCAGAGGAGGCGGGCGCCAGCATTCGGGCCAGGGAGGCGCTCGGAGGGCACGACGCGATGGCCGGTACGGGTGAAAGCACAAAACCCATGGTCAAGGCCCCGGTCTAGCCATTGGGCAACAGTCCGGGCAAATGCCCGGTGAGTCGCTCCATTCTGATGGCTGGTGCAGTGGGACTGTGCGGTGAAGTTGCAAATATGATCAGAGTGTAAGCTTCTTTGCATATTTGCTTATTTAGCTCCCACCACTCCTCCATCTACCCGCACCACCCTAAAATAAACCCCACCAAACTACATTACAGTCTACAAGTAACTCAAGCTCAACTTTACGAATGTTTCCTCCTGCTGCCCTGCGTGCAGAAACGTTGTAGTTCTATTTGTGCACGTTATTAACACTGTCCATCAGGTTATATTGCCCATAGACTATCAATTCCCAAAAGACTAACATTGCCCATAGGCTTACATTGCCCATAGACAAAAATAGTCCATAGGCTTACAATGCCCATATACTAACATTGTCTATAAGCTTACACTGCCCATATGCTAACATTGCCAATAGAGTAACATTGTCAGTTATAGGCTTACCTTGCCCAAAGACTAACATTGTCCGTAGACTAACATTGCCCATAGGCTTGCATTGCCTATAGACGAACATTGGCCATAGACTAGCATTGTCCGCCATAAGCTTGCATTGCCCATAAGCTCACATTGCCCATAGGCTTACATTGCCCATAGACTTCATGCCAATGTCGAGGTCTGCTGGCCACGATGAGAGATCCTTAGTAGAGAGAGAGAGTTCGTGAAGTTTCGCCGTTCCTACTCCTCCATTGGAGGAGCACAGACCACAGTGGTTAGACTGCTATAGTCCACGGTTTGGTTTGCTAACGTTGCAATAATCGGCGCATCCCTTCCCCTACCTTTCTCCCTCCCCTGGCTGTTGTAGGTCGCCGTGTCTCTGGCACTGCCATGGTGGCGCCGCGGCCACCACAACCACCGCCACCACCTCCCGCGCGGTCGTGCGAATTCGGTGGGGTGCTGTACCGGGACGGCGAGAGGTTCCACATGGGCTGCGAGCAGTACTGCTCGTGCCGTGCCGGCGGCCTGGCCTGCGTGCCCGCCTGCCCCCAGTCCGAGATGCTGCCCTCGCCCAGCTGCCCCGAGCCGCGGCGCGTGCCGCCCACGCCGGGGAAGTGCTGCCACGAGTGGGTGTGTGGCCAGCCAGAGGCGGCGGGCACCGGCAAACGGACCAGGGAGGTGCTCGGAGGGCACGACGCGATGGCCGGTACGGGTGACAGGGCAACGCTCACGGTCAGGCTGCCGACTAGCCATACGGCAGCAGTCCGGGCAAATGCCCGGTGGGCCACTCCATGTATTAAAATATTGTATTACCTCTCACCTGTACGCTTAATTGCATATTTTCGCTCTCAGTGGGCATTAATTCCCATATTCTGTGGCCCCAAAGATTCCAAATACGCCAGTGAGATCACGCAGCAATTTGAGCTGTGTTTACAAATGGCTGGGTCGATTATTATTCCCAGTCTGTCACTAGTCACGGTAAACCCTGGGGCCATATGCGGGGCAGACGGCCACGTAGGCTCCCCACTTTCGTGTTACGTTCTATGCAGGACTTCTAAGTTGCTTATCCAAATCCCACCATGGAGTTGCGAATATCCTCCACATGCACTCGTAGTCACAGGCAGATGATTACTTTCCAGATGCGTTAATGAATAATTACCACATTTTGTATGCATACAATCAAATTCCTTAACTGCCATACTTTATTTTTTTTATTTAAAGCTTTCGTGACTGCAGGGATTCATATTTTTGGTTCTTTCGGTAAAGTCACATAGAAGGGAAACAATAAAATAATAAAAATATTATTTTATTGTTTCGCCATACTTTCTTCAAATTATCAGGCATTCCAATGATGTATTTCTAAGGCAACAGCGCTCTTCTGGTATCATAGGTTGTGTGTCATGACCTCTGTGCATTGGCTGCTGCTGCTGCTGTCCTCACTTCTGTTCCGAAGTGATTAAAATTGTTGAAGCCACCTTCTCTGACATGGCAATTATGAGTCCCCTGAGCACCGTGAGTCACCCGGCCTTCTGAAACCACGGTCACTTCAAAGCAGACATTACATTGGTGCCGTGGCCGGGATATGGCCACCGACTCTGCTTGGAGCCAGCGCAGTTGCAAGTGCTCTGACCACTGGGCCACAAGCGGCGATGTCGACCTTTACCAGTCGCTCATTCAGGAGCTGCAGGGCAGATGTTTATGTTGTGATGGATAAATATCACAATGTACGTGTTTAAACCCAATTAGACCACGACCTTTCCAATGGGCCCCCCCACCCCCAAAGCGCAGTGCGCATGTAAATCACGCCACGCACACAACGCCTGTGCGATATTTCACCGTGAATAGCGGGGTTGTTTACGCTCAGCCGTTCGAGAGAAAAAAAATCGCCGAACTGCTCAACGTCAAATTCCTGACCCATTATTGCGATGTGGAATACATGAGCAGGTGAAGGAGCTGGAGCAGTGGCGCAATGGTTCACACACTGCGCTATGAACCCATGGACCCGAGTTTGTTTCCAGGCCACGGCCAACATAAAGTAGCGAATGATATCCAAACCGGGTCTAGTCTTGTCCTTCATCAAACCGCACTAACAAGTGAAGTGTGGTCAAACAAGTCCCATATAGTGACGCGGTGTGGGGAGGACCTCGTGCAGCAGTAGATTGAGAATGGCTGAAATTAAGATGCAATAACTCGACTGTCAATCAGAAAGCTGAGAGTTAACATTCTGGCCGCTTGCCAACTTACCCCATCATCCCATGAATACCACATTCCTAGGGAGTGGGACAGTTTTAAAATGCAAACTTACGTTGAATTGGTAGTGGTTACTAATTTGAGTGACCCTGGTGGGATGATGATGATGATGGGCTGAACCAATCCCCGACCGAGATATGAACTCTGATCGCAGTTTCCCACCTGAGGGATTTGAGTCCAGGCAAAGGCCAATGTGTATGCACGCTCACCGGAGCACCAAAACTCATTTACACAACCGTGCCTGAGCCACATTCATATGGTCGGGATAAATGTGTAGTTCCTATTTACACAATGGGGAAGTCTAAAGATTCTGACACGGATAGTATAGCGTACCAGTACACTAAAACTCAGTATCACCATCATTAACCGCGTCCAATCAATCCACTGCTGGATGGAGGCCGCCCCGATATTTGCGATGTAACGATACAGCCAGCACCTGCTGCTCGCGAGCTGGTGCTCAAACTCACGCGTGTCAAAATGTTACCCCCAAATACGTTCGTGACGGCAGCGGGTTTAACCCCGGCAGCCGCTTTGCTGTGCTGCCCTCTGCTGATTATGCTGCGTAACCACGCAGCACTCCAACCAGTACGAGAAGAGCCTCTGGGTTTCGCCACGATTATGGATCGAGATAAACTTTGCGGATCAGTAAACAGTGGTTGTTCTATGGATACACTCCACCCCGCCATGGGAATGTGTAATTTTTTACCAGTGGCTCAGGGCTGTAAACGGGAGATATGAGCACCAATGCCTCAATGCTCATTCGTGCAAGGAATCACTCTGAATTGCTTTTCTTATCTCTAGCTTCATTATAATTGACAATCCCACGTGGGTCAGATTCACAAATCATCAGGCGTGTGCGGTACATAACATCCTAATTTGTACTCGAAGAGGAAAGGTTGCTGAACGTAGAAAGGCGGACTGAGATTGAGCGTATGGTCAGGAGTTTTGGAAATCTTGCTCTAGCCCATCAGGAACATGGTTCATCAATTCCCCTCCAATACAAGTCGAATTTGCATAGGATCTACATCCACTTGTGTCTCAAGATGCTGCACAGTAACATGAACAGCCATGCTCAATCAACTTCTGGATGGAGGCCTCCTCCACCCAGTCACCAACCCTCACAGTCTTGCAACACCATCATCTGCCTCGCTTCATCGCTCCATCTCCACGCCGTGGTATGCAGAAGGTCGTGGGTTCGATTCCGACCTTAACGGCTGCAGTATACAGTACTTGGAGTTTGCATGTTTTCCCCGTGGTCATGTTGATTTTTCTCAGGGTCCTCCTTCGGTTTTTCTCTCCACATTTAGAATCAACGTGCGTTTGGAGTATTTGACTGCTATACCTTTTCACGTGATGATGAGCCACTTCAATGAGCTATCATTTGTGGCCAGGTCGCTTCTGAAAAAAGAGCTAAATAGCTCAGCGGCTTCACCTGGTAAATAAAAATATCTTAAATTTTGATTTAAAGCTTTCATGTCTGCAGGGATTCATATTCTTGGTTCTTTCGGTAAAGTCATGTAGAAGGGAAACAATAAAATACTAAAAATATAAAACAATAAAATTCTCACGACGTTTCGACTGCAACACAAGCAATCATCATCAGGTGTGAAAACCACAGCAAGAAAATTTGAAAAAAGTGGCGTTTTTTTTTTACGTTAGCACCACGGAGAGCGATTTTGCAGTTATTCAGATGGACGAGTCCATCTATGTTCGGAAAAGAGGAGGGAGGAGACGAAAATAATGAATGCGGTCTGAAAGCCACCGTAAGCGTGAACAATCAGTTAAGACCCGAAATGGTTTATCAAATCGTTCCAATTATTCCTAAGCCAGAATCTATCTTCTCGGTTGAAATTGTCTCTGTGTTTGTATATGTGGATAGCCTCATGAACACATCTCATGGTAGCCAGATGGCTTGCAAAGAACCTCTGTCTTGGAGAAGTCAATGTCATGTGAGCCTACTGAAAAAAGTGGCGTTTTTTTACGTTAGCACCACGGAGAGCGATTTGGCAGTTATTTAGATGGACGAGTCCATCTATGTTCGGAAAAGAGGAGGGGGGAGACGAAAATAATGGATAAAAAAGAGACCTGATGGTTCAATGAGCCACTCTGTCTACAGGAAAGCTACCCATACGGATGCTTACCTGAAACCGGATTCCTACCACCATCCATTCCAGAAGAATTCCCTCATCAAGACTCTGCACCATAGAGCCCAATGCATATCCCACCAGGAACACATAGCCATTGAACTCAGGCACGTACACCAAGCTCTTAAGGCTAATGGTTACTCCGACTACACAATCCGCAAAGCTATCACTCCAACCATGAAGAAGGACCCTCTTGAGGAGCCTTTCAAAACCATCACTTGACCCTACATTGCAGGGATCACAAAAAAGATCCCCAAAATCTTGAATAAACACAAGATCCAGGTCCGATTCCACACATTACATAAAATCCGTGATCTGGTTCCGTCTGTAAAAGATGTGATTCCGGACATACAGTACCCTGGCATCTACAAACTAAGTTGCCTCTGTGGTAGTAGTTACATTGGAGAAACCAAACGACATGTCTCGGACCGCTTTCGTGAACATAAAGCAGACCTAAAACACGGTAGGACCAACACCTCGGCCGTGGCAGATCACTGTTATAATTCAGGATGCTCACATGACATTGACTTCTCCAAGACAGAGGTTCTTTGCAAGCGATCTGGCTATCATGAGAGATTCGTTCATGAGGCTATCCACATATACAAACACAGAGACAATTTCAACCGAGAAGATGGATTATTGCTTAGCAATCATTGGAAGGATTTGATAAACCATTTCGGGTCTTAATTGATTGTTCACGCTTGCGGTGGCTTTCAGATCGCATTCATTATTTTCGTCTCCCCCCTCCTCTTTTCCGAAGATAGATGGACTCGTCCATCCGAATAACTGCCAAATCGCTCTCCGTGGCGCTAACGTTAAAAAAACCAGCCACTTTTTTCAAATTTTTCTTGCTGTGGTTTTCACACCTGATGATGATTGCTTGTGTTGCAGTCGAAACGTCGTGAGAATTTTATTGTTTTATATTTTTATTTTTTTATTGTTTCCCTTCTACATGACTTTACCGAAAGAACCAAGAATAAAAATATCTTAGTTTCAGTTTCCACGCCGGTCTTCACTGCGGTTACACAATCTGCAGAATGCCATCCTCAAGCTGCTCCCTTCTCCCTGTGAAACGTCTCGCCCCCCCCCCCCCCCAGCGTTTCGCCAGGAGGACACAATGATGGTAGTGGTGGTGCCACCGGGGGGGTCATCATCATCCGGCTCCGAGGCTGCTGCTGCTGGGGAACCAGCTGGGGGAGCGGCGGCGGCCGGGCCCCCCTTCACGTGCAAGATGGGCGACTCGAGCGAGTGGAGTGCCTGCTCGCGGAGCTGCGGGGCGGGCATCTCCACGCGCGTCTCCACCGAGAATCCGCGCTGCCGCATGGAGCGGCAGTCGCGCGCTTGCGTCGTGCGGCCCTGTGACCTGCCCGTCCCTCCGCCGAGAAAGGTGACAGCCACCGTTGCAGCGCTTCTCCCTCCTCCGCCGTGTGGCGGCGAGTTGATCAGCGGCGGGTGCATGTATGTGTATGATGAACTTCTTTCGCGCCGTACGTAGCCAACCATGCTCATCGGAGGTGCGGGAGGGAAGGGCAACACACTAAACACAAAAGGAGCGATTCTCTGTCCGCGTGGAGGCTCGTGAGCGAGCCACTTGCACGACTTCAGCAGTCGCCTCGTGTTGAATTATCTGAAATGTTGGCAGCGAACGATCAACGTGGGCAGCGGGCGTTACTGTGTGGTCCACAACTTTCAGATTGATGCTCGCCAGCCAGGTCTGTCTGGGTCCGCTGCCCACAAAATATTTCCTCGCCCAGCACACCACATCAAGTATACCTCATCTGGCTATGGCGGTCGCTACTTGTCACGTGCCTACTCCAGTCCGCCAATAAGCTGTGAGAAACCCTGCTGTGATTTGGCAACCACGCCACGGTCCACACCACCACTGCATTGGTACTCAGATGGGATGGTTATTAAAATCGTGACGTGGTACTGGTTTATATCTTGACAGGTGGAAGCTCTATACGCAGTACTGTATATCAATCAGCCAATTAACTTTACCCATAGCCAGATGGAAGCCCATGAAGACAAAAGTGCCTTTGCAAATGAGACCTGCGGTACATAAGCACAAATAAACGAATACACCGTTTGGTGCACGAATGAAATCACTTCATAAAATGTAAACAAATATCATTTACATTTCGATTTAAAGCTTTCGTGACTGCAGGGATTCATCTTCTTGGTTCTTTCGGTAAAGTCACGTAGAAGGGAAATAATAAAATAGTAAAAATAAAACATAATAAAATAAAATAAATATCATTTACAGGGACAGAAAAATTACAGTGCACGTTATTTTTTTCTCCACAAAATACACGATATATGTGTACAGTCCTTTTTTTCACACCTTTACTAATGAGTATCTTTTCATATTAATTCACTGGTTTATCTATAAATATGTGTATATAATAATTGGTTCATGTATGCAGTATATGTATATATCTTGCTTCTTTCGGTAAAGTCACGTAGAATGGAATAAAATAATAAAAATGAAACATAATCAAATAAAATTCTCACGACGCTTCGGCCACAACACAAGTAGCCTTCTTCAGAATACAGCGCTAGAGTGAGCACTCCCTATGAATAGGGACAAGCTCGGAACGGAGGAGGGGGGGTAAAAAAGGGATACAACAAAACCGCCACGGTGCTCTGTCCTGTGTTGCGTTATGACTGTGCTATAATCTGGACTACTATACAATACAATATTACTGTGAGGGAAAAAGTATTTGATCCCCTGCTGATTTTGTACGTTTGCCCACTGGCAAATAAATGATCAGTCTATAATTTTAATGGTAGGTTTATTTGATCATTGAGAGACAGAATAACAACAACAAAATCCAGAAAAACGCATGTCAAAAATGTTATAAATTGATTTGCATATAAATGAGGGAAATAAGTATTTGACCCCTCTGCAAAACATGACTTAGTACTTGGTGGCAAACCTTTGTTGGCAATCACAGAGGTGAGACGTTTCTTGTAGTTGGCCACCCGGTTTGCACACATCTCAGGAGGGATTTTGCCCTACTCCTCTTTGCAGATCTTCTCCAAGTCATTAAGGTTTCGAGGCTGACATTTGGCAACTCGAACCTTCAGCTCCCTCCACAGATTTTCTATGGGATTAAGATCTGGAGACTGGCTAGGCCACTCCAGGACTTTAATGTGCTTCTTCTTGAGCCACTCTTTTGTTGCCTTGGCCGTGTCTTTTGGGTCATTGTCATGCTGGAATACCCATCCACGATCCATTTTCAATGCCCTGGCTGAGGGAAGGAGGTTCTCACCCAAGATTTGACGGTACATGGCCCCGTCCATCGTCCCTTTGATGCGGTGAAGTTGTCCTATCCCCTTAGCAGAAAAACACCCCCAAAGCATGTTTCCACCTCCATGTTTGACAGTGGGGATGTTGTTCTTGGGGTCATAGGCAGCATCCCTCCTCCTCCAAACACGGCGAGTTTAGTTGATGCCAAAGAGCTCCATTTTGGTCTCATCTGACCACAACACCTTCACCCAGTTGTCCTCTGAATCATTCAGATGTTCATTGGCAAACTTCAGACGGGCATGTATATGTGCTTTCTTGAGCAGGGGGACCTTGCGGGCGCTGCAGGATTTCAGTCCTTCACGGCGTAGTGTGTTACCAATTATTTTCTTGGTGACTATGGTCCCAGCTGCCTTGAGATCATTGACAAGATCCTCCCGTGTAGTTCTGGGCTGATTCCTCACCGTTCTCATGATCATTGCAACTCCACGAGGTGAGATCTTGCATGGAGCCCCAGGCCGAGGGAGATTGACAGTTATTTTGTGTTTCTTCCATTTGTGAATAATTGCACCAACTGTTGTCACCTTCTCACCAAGCTGCTTGGCAATGGTCTTGTAGCCCATTCCAGCCTTGTGTAGGTCTACAATCTTGTCCCTAACATCCTTGGAGAGCTCTTTGGTCTTGGCCATGGTGGAGAGTTTGGAATATGATTGATTGATTGCTTCTGTGGACAGGTGTCTTTAATACAGGGATCAAGCAGAGATTCGGAACACTCCCTTTAAGGGTGTGCTCCTAATCTCAGTTCATTACCTGTATAAAAGACACCTGGGAGCCAGAAATCTTTCTGATTGAGAGGGGGTCAAATACTTATTTCCCTCATTAGAATGCAAATCAATTTATAACATTTTTGACATGCGTTTTTCTGGATTTTCATGTTGTTATTCTGTCTCTCACTGTTCAAATAAACCTACCATTATAATTATAGACTGATCATTTCTTTGTCAGTGGGCAAACGTACAAAATCAGCAGGGGATCAAATACTTTTTTCCCTCACTGTATACCTTTCAATCTAAACTACATGGTATAATATCATATCCATAGACAAATTCCACCTTTGAATTATACAATGCGTTATTATACATTACCCTATACTTTAGACTATAAAATATTAGACTTGTAATAGTACACTATGTCTTATTCTATCAACCCTGCTGTGTACCACATTGCTGTATATTCACTATACAATTACGATACTATATATTGCCCCATGAATTATGTTAAACATTACAATGTTATACTATTTATTATTATACAACATGCTTTAAGCCATACCATTGACCGTCGTGTGAAAGGTATTAAGAGGCAGTGCCTGCGAATGGACTGCGGTCTGAAGGTTACCGTAAAATACAATCAATTAAGAACCGAAATGGTTTATAACATCTTTCCGATGGTTACTAAGCCAGAATCCATCTTCTAGGTTGAAATTGTCTCTGTGTTTGTATATGTGGATGGCCTCATGAACGAATCTCTCATGGTAGCCAGATGGCTTGCAGAGAACTTCCGTCTTGTTGAAGTCAATGTCATGTGAGCCCATTGAATTATTACAGTGATCTGCCACGGCTGAGGAGTTGGTCCTACCGTGTTTCAAGTCTGCTTTATGTTCACTGATGCGGTCCGAGATATGTCGTTTGGTTTCTCCAATGTAGCTGCTACCACATAGGCAACTTAGTTTGTAAACGCCCGGGTTCTGTATGTCTGGAACCACATCTTTTTCTGACGGAACCAGATCACAGATGTTATGTACTGTGTTGAATCGGACCTGGATCTTGTGTTTATTCAGGATTTTGGAGATCTTTTTTTTTGTTTGCAGGTTCACCACAAGTACATTTGGTTCATTCAGACTTGATTCCTTGCAAAAGGTTTCTATTTGGTGTTTGAACAGCTTGACACCTGTTTATTGCCAGAAAGGGTAAAACCTATTCTTATTTTTTCATACTTTGATACTGCCAAAAAGTTCCCATTGGGTCATTCAAACTCTGCGATACACGAGAGATTCTACATGCACCACGAGGCGCGTGACATTCAATAAATAGAGTGTTAGAGATTTGCTGAATCACCGATGCGGAGGTGAATGAAGCCATCCCCCTCCGGCTTCCACGCTGCTGTAGACCCATACCTAAACCATACAGTATACCCATCTTCTTGTATAGGCAATTTAGTTTCTAGGTCCATACGGTGGACAGCCGTTTCAATACGGGAAAAAAAAAACGTATATTTGTGTTTCTCCCTTGTGATGGAACTTTGTAGGAGATTTATACAGTGCACAGGGTGACCAATAAGGTCTGAATTGGTCTGTAATAAGGCAGGCACTGATAAGGATCTGGCAGGTATGGTAGACCTCGTGTGCTAGGACGGAGGTGCGAGGTCGTGCATGGAATTGACTGCAGCAGATGGCGCTGCGAGTCCTTCGTGAAATATCACGGTCTCTCAAATTGGCGGCAGGTTCCGAGAGAACGTTGGGGAGTGGAGGCTGAATCTGATTCTGCCTCACGTGAAGGGAACTACCTTCGGGTACCCTGAGGCGTCTCTTGGCTGCACTGCTTATCATCATAAACCCCAACGATTTGCAATTAATTCCACCCCCCCCCCCCCCCCCCCCCCTTTACGTTTTGTTTGATGGACTTTCCAGCCGAGGGCTCAAAATGGCCACGTCCAGCGTGAGTGTCAAGCCAAGAGCACTGATTGGATCTAACACAGTGCGTACAGTACTAGGCTCTCAAATGTGGTCAGTTCGGTGGTCTCGGCCTGGTCACCGATGGGGACACGCAGAGTTTTGTATTTGAGTTTTTCATACGTACTTTGTTAAATGCATGAGATTTACATTTGTGGTGCAAGCCCTCTTTGCCTTGCACAGAAGAGCGCCACCTTGTGACCTGAGCAGCAGTTCGATGGCATCCTCCTCCAGGATCGGCCCCCGATTGGCCACGAGTTTCTGTGAGGCTATAGGCGCTACGTAGGAACACTTGCTTCCATCCATCTCTGGAAATGACTCAAAAGTGGAGCACGACTGGGATGTTAACATGCAACACCTCATAAAAGAAAGACTCGATACACGAGTTAAAATTGTTGACCCTGAATACCGACTTTCATCCAATCGTGGCAGGTTTCGATCATTACGTGCCTATAAGCCAGCAAATACACAACAAATACACATACACTCTACAGCATGGAGGGTCCGAGTCCCCCATGGATGCTCTGGAGTTTGCCCCGGCTGTGGCTGGCGCTCGTTGTTGTTATTTGCTCCAGCGCTGTGCTGCGGTATTGCTCTCTCTTTGTCTCTCTTCCTCTCTCCCCCACGTTTCCCAACGCTGACACTATGCCCTTTCTACCGTGTCATTCGTATTTGAAAGACTATAATGTCGACGGCTTACGGCCGCCTTATTATAGCTCCTGTGGAGGGCTTCTCGGTGCTTTGCGCCTTGCCCGTCGCCCCCATTGATGTCATCTTCACCCCCACAATGTGTGCAGATACTTCTGACTATTGTATGTAGGGCGTGTAGGTATATTTGCCTACAAAACCACAGATACTATTGACTATTGTATGTAGGGTATGTAGGTGCATTTGCCTACAAAGCCACAGATACTATTGACTATTGTATGTAGGGTGTGTAGGTATATTTGCCTACAAATCCACAGATACTATTGACTATTGTATGTAGGGTGTGCAGGTATATTTGCATACAAAACCACATATACTACTGACTATTGTATGTAGGGTGTCTAGGTACATTTGCCTACAAAACCACAGATACTATTGACTATTGTATGTAGGGTGTGTAGGTATATTTGCCTACAAAGCCACAGATACTATTGACTATTGTATGTAGGGTGTGTAGGTATATTTGCCTACAAAGCCACAGATACTACTGACTATTGTATGTAGGGTGTCTAGGTACATTTGGCTACAAAACCACAGATACTACTGACTATTGTATGTAGGGTGTGTAGGTATATTTGCCTACAAAGCCACAGATACTACTGACTATTGTATGTAGGGTGTGTAGGTATATTTGCCTACAAAGCCACAGATACTACTGACTATTGTATGTAGGGTGTGTAGATATATACAAACAAATTGGATCTACTTTTTACCCCCACATCTGGTTGCGGGGGGGGGGGGGCACTTTCTATAACGTTTTGATCAGGCCTTCTGAAAGGCTCTCGTAATTTAGTTGACGGACAAAGCACAAATGGAACGCCATGGTTTATAACTGATACCGTATACATTAAAAAACAGTTAAGGGTATCATGGGACATCCTTTGCCAGTTTCAAATATGAGAATACGTTTTTCCCCTTTTATCTGGAAACAAAACAGGCGTTAAGTTTTGATTTAAAGCTTTCGTGACTGCAGTAATTCATATTCTTAGTTTTTTCGGTAAAGTCACGTTGAAGAGAAACAACAAAATAATAAAATATATATAAAACAATAAAAAAAATCTCACGGCGTTTCGACCATAACTCAAACGGTCATCTTCAGGTGTGTTGGTTTGCATAAATTTATTTTTAAACGGCGCATTTATTTATTTATAAAAAACGTTAGCGTCACGCGCAGCGATTTGGCAGTTTGCCCAGGACTAGTCCATTTATATTTTTTTAAAAGAGGAGGGGGGAGACGAAATTTTTTTATAATGTATGCTGTCTGAAAGCCACTGTAAGCGTGAACAATCAATTAAGAACTGAAATGGTTTATCAAATCTTTCCAATGATTGCTAAGATAGAATCCATCTTCTCGGTTGAAATTGTCTCTGTGCTTGTATATGTGGATAGCCTCATGAACGAATCTCTCATGGAAGCCAGATGGCTTACAAAGAACCTCTGTCTTGGAAAAGTCAATGGCATGTGAGCCTACTGAATTAGAACAATGATCTGCTACGGCCGAGGTGTTGGTCCTACCGTGTTTAAGGTCTGCTTTATGTTCACGAATGCGGTCCGAGACATGGCGTTTGGTTTCTCCAATGTAACTACTACCACAGAGGCAACTTAGTTTGTAGACACCAGGGTATTGTATGTCCGGAATCACATCTTTTACAGACGGAACCAGATCACGGATTTTATGTAATGTGTTGAGACGGACCTGGATCTTGTGTTTATTCAAGATTTTGGAGATCTTTTTTGTGATCCCAGCAATGTAGGGTAAAGTGATGGTTTTGAAAGGCTCCTCAAGAGGGTTCTTCTTCATGGTTTGAGTGATAGCTTTGCGGATTGTATAGTCGGAGTAACCATTAGCCCTAAGAGCTTGGTGTACGTGCTTGAGTTCACTGCTTATGTGTTCCTGGTCGGATATGCATTGGGCTCTATGATACAGAGTCTTGATGAGAGAATTCTTCTGTGATGGATGGTGGTGGGAATCCGGTTTCAGATAAGCATCCGTATGGGTAGCTTTCCTGTAGACAGAGTGGCTCATTGAACCATCAGGTCTCTTTTTAATTAGGACATCCAAAAAGGTATCTTGCCATCTATTTCGACTTCCATGGTAAATCTGATGGCTGGGTGTATGGAATTGATGTGGTCGAAGAATTGGTCTAGAGCAGGCCGGCCATGTGGCCAGATGACAAAAGTGTCATCCACGTACCTCTTCCATAAGGTTGGGCGCAGAGTGGCAGTCTGGATGGCGTCAGTCTCAAATTTCTCCATGAAAATGTTAGCTATAACTGGAGAAAGGGGGGAGCCCATTGGGGTGCCCTCAGTTTGTTTGTAGAAAGTTCCATTCCAAGTGAAGTATGTATTGGTTAAACAGTGTCTCACCAGGGGGGGTACCTCAGTGTTTAGTCCTTGATGAACCAAGTCTTCAATGATTGCAATGGTGTCAGGTACAGGAACCTTGGTGAATAAGGAAACTACATCAAAACTGACAAGCAGGTCGTCTGGGGACAGGGAAATACCCTTGATTGTCGATACCAGGTGAGTAGAATTTTGTACCGCAGAGGTGGTCTTTCCAGTGAAAGGACGCAGGATTTCAGACAAAAAACGAGCTAGTTTGTAGGTGGGGGAGCTGATAGTAGAGACTATGGGACGAAGAGGTGTATCAACTTTATGTATTTTTGGTAAGCCGTATAATAAACTGGAACCTGTTATAAGGAATCATGTCTGCATTAACCACAATTCTTGTGGTCAAAATGCAAACAAAAAACATACTCTGATAATATATGCATTGTCTTTGAAACTGATTGGTCCACACCAGAGACAGCTTTATTTTGAGCCTCGTCTCAAACGGTGTTCACCAGAGGACGCCAAAAGGCGAACAGCACAAAGACAATGCCACTATCAGAGTAATGAGAGCTCGGGTTGACCATCTGCATCAAGGGACCTCCTTTGCCAGTAGCAAAATATGAGAATAGGTTTTTCCCCTGTTATCTGGCAACAAAACAGCTGTGTTAAGTTGTTAAAACACCAAACTGAAACCTAAAAGGTTTCAATTTATATTATCAGAGTATGTTTTTTGTTTGCATTTTGACCACAAGTATTGTAGTTAATGCAAACATGATTCCTTGTAAAAGGTTTCAGTTTGGTGTTTTAACAACTTAACATCTGTTTTGTTGCCATAAAAAAGTAGAAAAACGTATTCTCAGTTAAGGGTATGTATGTAAAATTCGAACTTTTATCATTTATTTCAGGGGTGCCACGGTGGCATGATGTTGTCTTGCTTGACTGGTATAGAGGAGGTCAGGAGTTTTCGTGTCTCTCTCCCCGTGGTCGCGTGGATTTTTTTCCCCGGGTCCTCCGTTTTTTCCCTCCACATTCTGCAACGTGCGTTTAGATTATTTTCATTATTTTTCTGCTATAAATATCCACGTGATAAGCGACTTTGTTGAGCTATCATTTGTGGCCAAGTCGCTTCTGAAAAATAAGGTAATAGCCCAGTGGGCTTTACCTGGTAAGATAAAAAAAATAGTTGAGTTTTTATTTGAATACTTCTTCAAGTGATGTGTTTACATTTCCAATACTTTGCACTCCTATCGTGTTTGTGTATTGTTTGTTGTTGTAACGTTCCGACCCGTCCCTACTAAACATGTGAGAAAGCGCTTCACAGCTCATCGGATTCCTCCTCCGGTCAAGATAAATATTCTGTTTTTTTTTTCACCCCTTCCCCACGAACAGCCGGGCAAGCGCTGCACTCGCACTTTCCGCGCACCGTCGCCCGTGCGTCTGCGGGACCCGGCGGGGCCCGGCGGGGCCGCATGCACCTCGCTGCGCCGCTACCGCCCGCGCTACTGCGGCGGCTGCTCGGACGGCCGCTGCTGCACCCCGCACCGCACGCTGACACGGGCCGTGCGCATGCGGTGCGCGGGCGACCGCGTGACCCTCAGGGACGTCATGGTGGTGCGCACGTGCGCCTGCCACCGACACTGCCCCGACGACGACGGTGACGACGACGCGGGCAACAATGGTAACGAGGTGTGATGGTCATCACGGTGGTGGTGGGGGTGCTGGTGGTGGTCATCGTAATTGTGGTGGTGAGTGATGATGATGACACCATTGTGATTGACAAAGGTGATAGTGATGAAGACACAATTAAGCCAGTGATGATCACACGATTATCATGGTGACATTGATAAAGATGCAGATGACAAATGGGACCATGATGATAACACAGGTATTTAATCATGATGGTGATGATAAAATCATGACACCTGACAGTGGCACTATGATAATGACCACCACCACGCCAATGTATTGAAACACACCACTACATCGTGATAATCGAAGAAAAATAACAGTCATGATAACGATAATACAATGATGATGAATATAACATGGCAATGACATGATGATAAAAATGACTATGGTGATGATACCACGATGTTGATAATGACGATGATCATAATGATGGGAGTGAAGATCACACGTTACAGACAATATTTACTCCACAATAAAAACTCGCAGACACCACTTGCATCACGTTAACACCATAGTGGCATTAAGACCATGATTACAGCACCACCTCAACCGCCTCACCCACCACTGTCACCATGACACCACACCTACACAACCAGCAGTACATCTACACAACCACCACCACACCTACACGACCACACCGACACAACCACGACCACACCTACACAACCACCACCAGAGTAACGCCACACCTACCCCACCTCACTACCACCAGTGACACCACCACTACATCTACACAACCACCACAGTGACACCACGACTACTGCATCAATGTCGCAACGTCATCGATGACATTTTCGACCTTTTTTAACGAAACGTTCTATAGGCTTTGTATCAATAATTATGTGACTGATCCAACTCAATGTAACCATACACGGTAGTTGGTATGTACTTAGACCTAACGATAGAGCTCTCCGTAGCCGCATTCCACTATACACGGCTGAGATTTAATGTTTGCACTTAACTAGAGAAGAAGTCTGACATCTCCGATGATTTATCATCTGAGTTCCTCTCTCTCTGCAACTTTCCCTTCTCCCGCAATAGTAACTGCTACCCCAGTGTAAATACACATTTTGTATATAAAGACCTGATACTAATTTATGTAACTGCTCCATTTCTATCCCTGTGTATAGATTGTGTGAAGTATTTTTTTTATTTTTACATTTAAACGCCTTGCAGTTACATGGTGCATCTTTGTCTCTGGCAGTTATATTTTCATTCATAGGTCACCTCGTCCCTTGAGATGGAATATCTCGTTTGCAAGGGTGTCAAGGCATTTAGCAAACACGTATTTAACATTAGAACCTACATAAACATGAGCAGTCTTTATTTGTTGGGGCATTTTTTGAATAATTATAGAAGGATTAAGGTAGGCCCCAGGGGATTCCACTCTGCCCTCTTGCCTAGATGCCCCCCTCTAAAAGCCGACGGAATGTAGGCAAGGAAGTGTGGCCAGCTCGGGCTTTTGAATCGAAAACAACTGAGGAGTTGCGAAACAAGAGCACTGTAATGTAACATTAAAAAAAACAAATAAACATTCACAAAATAAACAATGCCGTGCATGTGTGCGTACAGCAACTACATTCCAACTAACGTGCAGCCCTTCCTCAATCCACGAGTGGATGAAGGCCTCCCCTATGCCATATCAGTTGTGGGAAGATTTGGTCACTGGTTCAGATAGCAAACGCTTCACTGATGTCAGCCCGTGACTACGAATCTAAAGTCGATCCCTCTATAAAATTACATTTTGTACAAAAAAATCTCCGCAGGCATTTGCTTTATGCGTGTTTTTTAGGGCTGCAAGTAATTTTTGCCTCCAAAAGGTATCTTTGACGATGATGTTAGATCCCATCGTGACATTGCTCTAGCCGGGCGCAGGCAGAGAGCAGCTGTTTGCGAACGCCTGCTTTCCCGTCTGCAGGCATATCACAAACTGGGTGCACTCGTTAGTACTTCACACGCACACGGCAACCCTGCACCATTCACGCACATTCCTCTCTTAACTTCATCTTAAAGACGTGTTCTTTTGTTCGTTTTGTTGTTGTTGTTTCGTAAACAAACATTACAAAAATAAAACCCAAGATATTTTACAAACGTACCGCTCGATCGTTTCGGTGTTTGTGAGTGAACGCGTTGAGACGTTTCACTGGGCTGTTTATAGATTCGTGCCATCAACCATTGGTCGTCGCTCAAAGGTTCCACGGATGCTCATCTAAAAAATGCTGAGCCCAGCATCATCTTGCAACCCTGGCACGAACCCCACTGGTCACAATCAAAGGCTTATGACGTTGGCGTTTGCGTCATTACCCAACGTGATTTGTGGATTTGCGCAGAGGCCATCAATCCATCGGGTCGTGGAGGGCTTCGTGAAAAGACGGCGGAGCATAGCCGAGGGAACAGAGTGGGAAGAGAGTACAGTCGATCACCGATTATCCGGCACAGCGCGGTTATCCGGCTGCTTTCCAACATTATCCAGCGGTCCCGGGCCACGTCGCTCCATAGGCCGTGACCCGGTCCGGTGATCGACACCATGTGCATGACGCAAAACGAGTAGCTACGCTTGATTTCAGTGTCAAATATTATAAACTGTACATTATACACTACATGCATACAACTTAAACGATGAAAATGCTGCACGTATATATGTTTTTCATGACTAATAACTACGGTGAAAAAAAACAAAGTATTTAACAGCGTGATCCGGCGAAAAGTGCCTTGTGTAATTCGGCGTTCCCTGGAGCACCGCTCTAAAGGCTGCATCTGTCCGGTGATCGTCAAACACGTTGTAGAAACAAGAGCATAGTGCGTGCATCACTCCGTGCAGGGTCTTTGAGATTGGAATGGTAAGTGCGGTACAGTAGATGCAGTGACTTTTTACCGTGGGATATTTCTTTTTGTCTCTTTGTATGTTTATTTAGGACAATTTCGTATAGTAAACACATTTAAAACACAAAAACAAACATATCACACTTGATTTGAACTTGATTTGATTTGAAACATATCACAACACCTAAAACAATGTTATGCAATAATGTGCAAGAAAAAACAAATTATTTAAGTCATGATTTAGTGACTGTCATGATCGACTGCAGTTGTCCTTAACCTGTAGTGCACGCACCCACTGGGGGTGCGTGATTCCCTTTCTGGGGGTGGCGAGACATGGGCAGATTTTTTTTTAAAGGTAAATCATGGAAACACAAATTAAGCGCGGGGACGTAAGTACAAATTACTTTGTTTCATCAAACCTACGTATTTATTCACTTGTATTACGATGGAGAACCAGAGGGGTGCAAAGCTGCAGTAAAGGTGAAGAAGCACTGCTCTACTGTATGGTACATCTTGCTGTCACTGCCACCTTAACCCCGCACCATGCCAAGAAAGAAATCAATAAAAATCCCACATTGTCATTCTGACATGTCAAAGAATGGGCCCCAAGAATATATAAAGTTATCGAACCACTTCTAAAATCCTGTTACTCACACCCCTTTGTTGGGTGTGCCCAGCAAAGAGTGTTTGTCGCATGGTACTGTATTTAAAACGAAATTCTTAAATCCTCAGGGTTGGAATATTGGCAAAAGAATAAATGAAAAACCAAATTTAATATTACAAGTCAGTTTTGTGCAGGCACCATGGTTGGCCGGGCCGAGCACTGCAAAACCCGGTTTAACCACGGGCGGTTGAAGCCTGGATTAAAACCCCAAGTTGTTAACGGTACCAGCTCAATGCCGTCACGCACTCACCGTTGAGGTTTTGATGGAATCCCTCGTTTCTCTCCGCCTGATGAAGACCGCTTGTGTTGCGATCGAAACGTCGTGGATTTTTGCTTTTATTATTTTCAATTTTTTTTTATTTTCTATCTCCGTGACTTTACCTAAAGATCCAAGAATATGAACCCAATTGGGTTTGGATAGCTGCCAGCTGCTCCAATTTGACGAAGCATTCTCCGTTGTTTTTCTTTCACAAACCCCACAGTGGAGTAAAGTGCCATAATTCATTGTAACGCAGCAGGATCATTAGCGTCTTTGTGGAGAACATAAGCAAGAAAATAGATCGACAGACAATACTCCTCCACATGACCGTCTCTACGTAGCAAAAAAAAGAGATGTACTGTGTTTTTATTACACAACCCAGTGGGCCCACAGTCTCAAGGGAGTGCATAATTTCAGTAGCATTAACCCAATACAAGCAAAGTCTGAACCAGTTTCAACATACGGTGTTTCATCAGCACAGTCAGGCTTTCTTGAATCGATGTTGGTGAACGGCCAAATGTAATAGACAAGAACCCTCTCTTTACGACATGGGTTCAATGCAAAATAAAAACACGTGGCTTAAAATTATCATTGCATTATTGTGTAATATATAAACAATATCAATAAGCAGATATCTGTCCTTAATATCTGTCTCTGCACATAAAAAATAATGTATAAACACAACCTATCGCTTGTGTAGTGGCTCCCAGGGAGACCGGAGACGAAGCGCTTGAGGCACACGTTTATTCAATACAACTGCGGAATGCACGGGTCCCTAACAGAGAGGGGTAGCGGCCCCTCTACTCGATACCCAAGGAGGTATAGCCTCCGGGCTAGCATGTCCTAAACACTCGGACTGCACTCGCGTTCCTCTGGCTAAGGCGACCTAGGGGGAGGCTATCTGACCCGACCCAGCCAAGGTCCTCGGGTTCCGACCACTGGCCCACTACAGCACCGGCCCTTAGAAGGACGGCGGGTCCGGGGGTTCCCAGGGTCGACCACTGGCCCACTACAGCCCCGGCCCTTAGATGGACGGCGGGTCAGGGGGTTCCCAGGGTCGACCACTGGCCCACTACAGCCCCGGCCCTTAGATGGACGTCGGGTCAGGGGGTTCCCAGGGTCGACCACTGGCCCACTACAGCCCCGGCCCTTAGATGGACGGCGGGTCAGGGGGTTCCCAGGGTCGACCACTGGCCCACTACAGCCCCGGCCCTTAGATGGACGGCGGGTCTGGTGGTTTCCAGTGGCCTTCGCCTAGCTGGTCTTCTTTCTTCAGCTTGACGAAGACTGCCGGACTCGTCTCTCCGCCCCTGGCCACGCCCCCCTTCTGGAACTCTCTAGGGGGCTCTGGAATATCTCCCCCAACCCCTCTCTTGGGGTTGGGAGAGCCTAGTGTCCAAACGGCCCGGCTCATCCCGGGTTGCCAAACCCTATGGACACATGTGTGCTACTTCAGGTAAGTGTGCATAACAATGCTATATACAATGCCTGACACCGACGCTACACTTGCACAGCCTGCTGAGAGTGCTTAATTTCAGCAGCATTGAACCAATACAAGTGTAGTGGTTTTACTGAGACACACACTTGTTCTTGGAGGCAACACATTTATTTCACAACCCCAACAGGGCGAACTACTTAACGTACAACGTAGCTAACTCTGTACTCTGGTCCACTACCTAACCCTACAACGGGATACCATCTAGTGGTGACCACCACAGGTAACTATATAACCGGACCAGGTCCGTTAACATCCTGCTTGGTCCACGACTAACAAGCCCCGAAGCCCAGAGACCGAAGAGAAGTAGACGGCGAGTTGATTCCCAGAAGACAGCCCCCCTCGGCTCTCCGGATCATCTTGTTATCCCTTGAGCGGGACCTTCCTTCCTCCTCGGCCCCGCCCCCTCCGAGATCTTCCCAGAAAGCTTTGGGACCTCACTCCACCTGTCCTTCTCGTCACGTCCCCACCCGGGTTCCTCCATACTGTCACATCCTATACTGTCTCTCCCTGACAGCCACCTGGGACCCTGCCCCCTAGAGTCCCCTTCCATGCCATAACATACACTCGTGTCTGAGAGAGGGTTTCACACACACAATTCCACTTTCTGTCAATGACTCGCGCGAGACGCTCTAGTGACCAAATATACGTCGTTACGCAAGCAAGCTGTATGATTACATAATTCCACCTCATATCAATGTCCAGCATTAATGGTTAAAGTGTCAGCCTACACAAAGAAGCATTGGGCAGGTGAGCATTTCCACTGGCATTCCAGATTCAATCGTGGAAATTCCAAATTGCTATGCTGGGAGGCCAGTATATAATTATAGCAGCTTCTTCAGTTCGCCACAACGCGGAGCTCATTTGACCATCCCTGAACGATTTGGTGAGAGGAGTCGTCAACCGATGTGTGGATTCGAAACCTCCAAACTCTTCGCTGAGCCCTCTCTTACCGGAGGGTCTTATGCGTCCTATTGGGGAAGTTTGGGTTATTTACTTTCGTGAGCTTTGGTTTTCATTTGGAAGGAAATCAGAGGGCGTGGACAAATCCCGCGCAAACAAGGAGGTAACAGCGGCAGCCACCTTTTTCACGATTAAAATAAAGTTCAAGCTCGATGCAGATGCCAAGCCAAGTGTTGGGACGATCTGTCTGCAGTCTCGGGGTATCGCTCTCGTCGTGACAATCGCCCATTGGCATCCCAATTGAATACGATTCGAGCGCTTCCACCAATGACGTGAACTATCTTCTATGAAGATGAACAATTGTGAGGATAGAACCTTAATGCCTATGCTCTATCCCTCCTCCCCACAAGATACCTCGTGCTAAAGTGAGGCGTATCAGAAGGCTTTGCGAGGGCCAAAAACAGAAGCATGACTTTTCAAAGTTGCCACCTGCGAATGTGAATATGAAAAAGCAAACGCTAAATTTACGATATTTTTGCTTTCGCACCATTTAATAAAAAAAAACACATCCGTGTTCACACAGACCAATCGGTGATTTAGAACAGAGAAAATGGAAGTCTCCACAGATGCAACCTATCTCTGTGAAAGTTAGCAGTCGCACGTCGAAGACGCATCAGGTTATTACGCTTGCAAACGCCTCTGGGATGTGGCAGAGGCGTTTGCATTGAAAATTGGCGGTGCAAGACATTCCCAGAATGGCCTCACGTCCTGACAGGCTGTAAATGCGGCTTAGTGAAAGAGACCCTTTAGTGGCGTTACAGCGAGAAAGGGTGAGTTTGTGTGCTTCAGTGTCTGTGTGCGTGTGCGTTTGAATGTATGTGTATGTCAGCGTATTCATGTGTGGGGAGTGGGGGCGCGGTGGTTAGCGTGCTGCGCTATGCACCCGCCTACCTAGGTTCGATTCCTGCTCACGACCAACACCGGTGACGATTACCTGAACCGGCTCTGGGCCTCCCTTAGGTCGACTGGGCATCAAATACTCTTTGGTTCTATTGGGTAAAGTCACGTAGGTGAAAATAAAATAACAAAAAAATCACGACGTCGTGATTTTTTGTTATTTTATTTTCACCTACGTGACTTTACCCAATAGAACCAAAGAGTATGGATCCTAGCAGTCACGAAAGATTTAAATCTAGAATGGGCATCAAATGTTTACACATCAGCACGAGGGAGACAAGGGCGGCCGGGCGTGTTGCTGGCCACCTAATGGCCTCGTGTGTCGTGCCGGCCTTAGGTGCTGCTGGCTGACAGCACTTGCCCCATCAGCCTGTTAAGGGTACACGGGGGATCTTTGGCTTTCGTGCGGGTGTGAGAAGAGTCTCCACATGGCGACTGAGGAATCTCGCGTGGATGTGATGGCTCCTGCGTGTGACGCGTCACACTCACAGCCCTCTCGCAACGCGCACAGCGACACACAGCTCCACAACCCCGTGCCCAAGACAAGTAAACGCACGGTGACGTGGCCTTGCGGTTACAGAGGTTTCGCGGTTCGAATCCAAGGGGCCTCCCTGGTTATTGCCGCAGTTGCAACTAACCCTAAAATAATTACGATTACGCGCCGTCTGCTTCGCTCAGAGTGGGACGTTAACGATCCCCGTGGCGTCATTGGCAAGAGAGTGGACCATTGCCTGCCGGCATCAGGCTCTACATTTTGCCAAAAAGTAGAAAATTACAGCCCCACCGCAAGTTATTTTATTGGTATACATAAACACAGACGCGAGGGGGAGGGATCCCTCATGAGACTCATCCCTGGTCTCTGGAGTTTAAATTAACTTGAAGAAAACACGAGACGAGCCGTGGGTTGTGCTGAACGCAAGCCCCACAAGCCAGTCCGGCGCACGGTGCCCTCTCTCAATTGTTGGGACGTGGTTGGCGCGGGGGTTCCATGCGGCCACGGTAGCCCGGCTCGAGTCACCACCCCGCTGGAGGGTTTCAACGGCTGGGAAAGATCATAACAAAGATGACGACGCGACCCCATTCAACCTCGGCTCATCGTCAGCATTAACATTGCCGGCCGTGGTTAATCCACCGCGGGATGAAGTCCTCCGCCAGCTGTAACACCAGAGTTGAATGAGCATTAATATTAGCAACACGCTCCATGCTATTATCAAACGTACTTTGCAACAGGCACGCATGGTAATCAATGTATAGATCGCCCCGTTGGTTTTTACATCGACCCTCTGACTTTTTTTTGCACAAGTTAAAAGAGCGGCGGCTTCACGTCTCCACGAGAGAAGCTTGTTAACAGATGTACTGCGGGGATTGAAATTAGCGGGAGAGGCGTAGCGGCATCGAAATCAAACGTTCTTTCATCTGTACAGTCTCCAATTATTCGTTTAATGGGGCATCTATAAACGGATCGTTCCCGTGTACACATTCGCAAAGTGTTCCCGTCGAGGAGGACGTGCTGAACGTCGTGATGCTGTCATGTCGTCAACGTGGTGATGCTAGAATGGGAGAGGTTTTTTTTAGCACTGGATGTGTGGTGGTCCAGGCTTATGGAATAGGTGGGGGGGATCACTCAGAGATCATCAAGGTGGCCAGGAGGTGGCGGTACAGCGAGTGGGGCGATTTTCAGCGTTTACTCCCTCATCCGTGCCATTTGGGATTTCCTCCGCGCGCCTCTGGTCCGCTGGCCGACGCAGTGCAGATAAGTCGCGCGTGGACGTTGCTGCTCCGAGTGTCTCCTCGTTTCAAACGAGCCGCAGCGGATGTCCCACAGCAGTCGAGCGGTGGCCGGTCGGCTTCCCACAACGTGCCGCTTACTCATTGAACGGACCACTGAAGGATGCCCACGCCGAGTCGACGGTGGCCACGGCGCTACTCAGTTGCAAGCGGAGTATTTAAGGGACCCGGCCAAACACCTGATGCCGAGGCGTTCCCGGGTAAATATATTCGTGAAAACGCTGGCCCTGTTAGTGTACGCGCGTAATTGCCAAAAGGAACACTTTGCAGGAATGTGTCACGCACGCCTCCTCTAACCTCCCCACCCACCCCCACCTCTAGCCTCCCCCCCCCCGAGTGCCCAGGGCTTCTCTGCCCCCCCCCCCCCTCCCACGAAGTCAGTGGCAGGCGATTTGCGTTTGTTAAACGCCTTGAATTTAATTTATTCACTCTCATCATCGCCCCGCCTGGCAGCTGGGCGATGCCGTGGTCTCGGAGGGATGCAACTCAGCCCATGATGGTGAAGCGTCCCTCCACCTCCGGGCTTAATAACATGAGCCGCCGCTTTGTCCATACAAGTCAACAGTTGGTTGTCCTATGAGAGTTTGGCTCGCAGCATAGGAATGTGGAATTTCCACGACTGGTCGAGGCCCGCCGCACCCGGAGAAACACTTCGCTTTGACTCTTCAACTCTGTCGGATGATTGGCTGTGATTACTGGCCCTGTGAGAGTGCGAGTTGGAGCCTCCATATAGGAATACAGTGTGGAAGCGTGTGCTCTGCTGGGCTTTATTAAACTATTCACAAATATTAAACACATTTTTATTTTATTTTACGGGGTAATGCCTACTGAGCTGTGTAAGCTCTTCTTCAGAAGCGACCTGGCCACAAATGACAGCTCAACGAAGTGGCTTATCCGGTGGAAATTTACAGCAGCCAATTACTCTGAACGCGTGATGCTGATTCTAACTGTGGAGGGAATAACCGGAGAACCCGAAAAAAAATCCACGCGACAACGGGGAGAGTGACACGCAAACTCCAACTATACAGCAGGCGTCAGGGTCCGCATCGAACCCACGATCTCCTGTATACCAGGCGAGGTAGTTAACATCTCGCCACTGGGGCGTGCGTGACACATTCAGCCGTGTCTCTCCGGTTCAGTGCCAGGCACACAACATCTGCACCATCGCCAGTTTACCAACGACCCAGGACATATTACAGCGGGAAATTGAGCCCAGGTTATATGCAGTAGTGAATAGATCACTGAAATATGAATAATGCAATACCATGGTACATTAATTATACAGTGTGATTTTGCATACATGCTAACACAAAGACGCATATTATCCCGTTTTGCTTTGGCAGACTGTTGGGGCAAGTGCTGTTATCGCTCGCCCCAACAGTCTGTGAAATGAAGGCTGGGTGGTCAGCACCACGCGCGGCCGCCTTTGTCTCCCTAGTGGCGATGTTTTTACACAACCACACCAGATAACACTTTTAATTCTGAGTCCACCTAGCGGACGCCCAGGACCGGTTCAAATATTTGCCCCTGTTATTGATCGTGAGCGGAAATCGAACTAACGTTGTCGGGTTCGTAGCGTAGCGCCACCACTCCCCCACACACGACTCCCCACACACTAACACACTTATGCTAACACGCACATACAAAGGCAAATATCCCCGTATAACCTTAACAGACTGTTGGAGCAAGTGCTGTTAGCGAGCACCTATGAAGGCCAGAACTGTACACGATGGAGTGGGTATCCAGCACTACACCCGACCGCCTTTGTCACCCCAGTGGCGATGTTTACACACCGCACCAGGTACGCATTTGAGGCTAAGTCAACCTAGGGGAGGCCCAGGACGGGTTCAGATAATGATCACTGGTGTTGGCCGTGAGCAGGAATCGAACTCGGGTCACCAGGTTCGTAGCGTAACGGGCTAACCACTCCAATGCTGCTCCCCACATGCACGTACTGTTCACCGATGTGAACACGCACATTCGTACACACCCACGCGCATACATGTGAACACATGTCATGCACACACATACACACACACCCTCCCACACATCACAGGCGCACAGGAAGCCAAGACACATTGCCTCTCCCTCCCCTCACTCCTCCACCCAGCAACCCTCCCACACCCAGCCAACTGCCTCCTCACTCGCTGCTTCCCACTCACCTTCTCCTCTCCTCCGCATCATCTCTATGGATTAGAGAGGCCTTCAACTTGGGGAAAACAACTTCATCAGCGGAGACATACATAAATACAACATCGCTAGAACTACCTTCTAACGTACTCGTGTACGCGCGCGTCCGTGCACGGTGCACAGAGTAAAACACACACGCGCGCGCACACTCACACCTGCACCGACCATTCGTCCATTCATTGACGACGATGGCATTCGCCGTCGAGTTTCACGCTCACGCGTTTCTCATCAGCGCCGCCCTCTTGCTCAGCCTCGCCGCCGTGGAGGTGCAGCTGGAAGCGCCGGGCTGGAGGCAAGGCTACGGCGCTCGCTACGCCGGGTGAGTTCGCGCGCCTCGCTGCTGCTGCTCGCTGATCCGCTGCTCGCACTGCCACACAGACGCCACCCGCGCCAAGAAGGTTGGGCGCTTCTTCTTCATCGTCGTCGTCGTCATCACGATCCGTGGGCAGATAGCCCCCGTAGGAGGTGTCCACCGCACATTTCGGCATTCGTTTCCACTCTCCTCTCTGTCTTGTTTGTCAATATTCTCGAGTAGTGCGCACCTCACCGACCTCTTCTTCTTTTTATATCGTCGTCGTCGTCAAGCCATTCTCCGTGAAGTCTTCTTCTCTTTCCGGTTCTTTCCATTTCTTCCGAACAACAACAAACTTTTAATGTACCTGTTGCCGTCCATCCTACACGTGTGTCCAAATAGTGCCAGGTTCCTTCTCATCACTGGCTGCATCATCATCATCATCGTCGGGTCGTCTTCTTCTACGCGCAACCTTGTTCTTGCGTATACGTGGGTCGCTGTTTGGGTCCGGCTTAGATGCAGCAAGCATCCCTCTGTAGCAATACATTTCGAATGCCAATATCGTGCCTCTGTCAGTGATCGTTCCTTTGTAACGTCCAAGTCTTGCAGGGCTTCTTCGCTCGAACGAAAGCAACTCGCGGCTCGATCGTCGCAGACTTCTCGGTGTCTCTCCGCTCACACACGCATCGAGCTGTGTTCATCTCATCTCATCTCTCCCGCCCTCCCCTTTCTCTCTCTCTCTCGGACGGCAACTGAGCCAGCGGTGGAAATTCCACATTCCCCGAACGGGAGCCAGTCGCTTCCCCAACGCAGACGTTAAATGTGTCTCGGCCGTCCGCAAACACCCGCGTTTGTGCGTGGTTGGAGGAGACGCATTCCCTCGCGGGAGACGGATCCGCTGCAGCCCCTCCCGACATCGCTGCGGGGCCGTGCCCCGGGCTAAAGGGGCCCTGTGTATACGTCCCGTATGTTGAACTTCTTGAGCACCGTACGTAGGCCAACCGTGGTCATCGGAGGGGCGCAGGGAAGAACAACCACAAAACTAACACTCAAAACGTAGGATACCACCGCTTAGCTATCCATGCCGATGATGATGATGGCGGTGATGATGGGCCGAGTTAACCCCGACAACGATTTGAACTCACGACCTTTTTTTATTTGTAAGTCGGATCGCCGTCGCCCGCCACGGAACCGCCAGTCGGATTTAAATCGAGTGCCGAACACCCGCAACAACGCACTGGGTCCGTAATGCCGCTGCTCCTGCTGCTGCGTTAGGGCTTTTACCATTACTGTTGTTCAGCTCGCCGATCGGGTTGTACCGCGTGTTCTGGTACGTGGAGCGAAACGTCGTACATCGTGCCAAACCACAACGGGTACGACCCTGCTGCGAGTTTACGGGCGAGCAGGCAAAATCATCATCATCCCGGCTCATCGACTCGGCTCATCGTCCCGAGACTGGTCACTGCCGCAGGAATGTCCAAAACTGGCCAAAGGCCACCGAATGTGATGTGCAAATACTCCACACAGGATTGAGTAGGGATACACCATACCTGTCAACCCCTTATCAGACCTTATTGGTCACCCCGTGCCCCTTATAGATCTCAACGTTCATCCGACGCAGTCTCATCACAAGCGAAAAACACAAATAAATAGACAACAAAATTGCCGGTATTGAAACGGCTGTATGCCGTATGGACCTGAAAACTCAATTTCCCTGTACAAGAATACGAGGTGAAACGTATGGGTTGACAGCTATGGATGCACTCTTTCACCGTTGACTTTTATTTAAGTAAAATATTCTTAAGAAGCATTTACTCATGAGCATATCCCTTTCCGCGTCATTATTTGTATGTATTCATCCGATGTGTTGTCGGGTCGTACCACGTGATGTTCAGCAAGACGTCCGACGTTTCGCTGCACGTACTCGGGAGCGGGGGTGGTTGGGTGTTTGGGGGGTGCGGGGGGGGAGAAATCCTATTCAGCTCATGAAGAATCCCTGAGCACGTGGAGCGAAATGTTGGACATCATCACCACCACCATCATCATCATCGGTACAACCCGGAAATTCCTGGGAGGGCTGTACAGCACAGCTGGCACGACCTACGCAGCAGAGAGATCCATCTGCTATGTGACCAGCGGTTTTGTAACCCCGCTGCCTTTGTCTCCGTATATATTATTTATTTATTACTCCCAAGGTGGGGGGGGGGAGTGTGGTCAGGGGTGGCGGACCTGTTGCCCATGTCGGAGGCTTCCGCCTGCAACAATGATCAATGAAGGTGATTGACCGGCTCGGGCTTTTGTGGGCGGCCCAGGCAAGGTGATCCGCGCGACGTAAATGATTGCGGATACTGTGCGCGTCCTTTCGCCTGGCTGCGCGCGCGCGATTGAATGAGGGGTGGGGGTGGTGAGCTCCGTGGACGCGACGGCGATGATGATGACGACGACGACGATGATGACGATGCAGGCCTCGTGAGCTGGAATGACGCGTCGTGTCTGTCACAGGCAGCAGGTTATCCGCGTTATTCCGGCCAACTCGAGGCAAGCAGAGATGTTGCGCACACTTGCACGCGATGCCAAGGTAATCATCAACGTAATTTTCATCATCCGTTCTCAGTCTACTGCTGGATGAACATTGCACCGTGTTTGTGTGTGTGTGAGAGATTGCTGCTCATCTATATGTTACCGTCTATGTGTGTGTCCATGTTTCACGGCCAACCAGGCTCTCCACCTAAATCGTAGGATGATGGAATATCCATCACTGGCTTCATTACGGGAGATATCATCATCAGCAGTCATGGTCTATCCACTGCTTGATCAAGGCCTCCTCCCCATGCCGTCGCGGTTCCATCCGTCTCACTCCAGCACGTGGGCCGATCTCATTGCTCCATCTCATCACCATCCTCATTACAGATTGCACATTAAATCGGTCAGTACAGTATTGTGTTGCATGGTGCTTTTTGTTGTCTCTGTAATTAAATGGCTTATTGAGTGGTGCCTATCTCCATCGGAGCTCCGGTGACAACGGAGATTCCTCATCCCTCCACTTAGGACAATTCGATTCTCTCTACAACGCCGGCCCAGCTCCAACTTCTCTCAGATGGGGGGGTGAGGGGCTGGGCGGAGGGTAGAGCTTTTGTGTGTGTCGGAGGCCTACTCTTTTTCAGAAGTGAACTGGCCACAAATGATAGCTAAGCAACAGCGTGGCTTATCACGTGGACACATATATAGCAGCCAAATACATGTCTTCATATGTGGAGATAAAAACCGGAGGACCCGAAAAAATTCCATGCAACCACGGGGAGAACATGCCCAATATACAGGTGTCGGGATCGAACCCACGACCTTCTGTATACTCGGCGAGGTGGTTAAATCTTGCAACTTGGGGAGTCAAAGGGACTTTTGGCCAGGCAGGGCCCAGCCCAGTTCCCCCACCTCGCGCCGGCCCTGCTACAAAGTGGTTCTCTATGTTTTTTTATGAACCCTGGAGGGATGACAGGCCAAATCGACCCTGCTTTGGAATTGAACTCACGGCGTTTGACAGAGTTGCTCAGTCCACGGGCAAGCGCGTTCCACCTTGGGATTGCGGCTCGACGTTTTCTCTTGACTCCCAGCCAAAAGGGCGCATGTCAAAAAAGAATCGCCTTGTAAATCGTGTAAAGTGTCAGCCCTCCCATCACGCGGAGTTGTACTGCACGCGTCCTGCACCGACCACCTGCACACCACACCTCTCGCGTCCATCTAATTCGCAGCCCTGGCGCGTGACTTTGTCTTAAAGGTGGGGGGTGCACGATACAGGCGTCGTTAAAGAAACTTTAAGCAAATGATCAACGCTGGAGCGGGAATGAGTAACGGCCTCTCGCGTCTATGGCGCGCTCTGCTCTGTCTCGCGCTCTCTCTGCGTGCACGAGGAACGGCGCCTCAAAGCCCATTGCTTGAACTCGTTTGTTGCAATCTTGATTTGAGAGTCGATACGATTTTAGAACTCATCGTTCGCGGTCCATTCCTCCAACAAGGAACCTGTATCTTCCACAGCTCAGCAAGAACGGATTTGCCACAGAGTGGTTCTGAATTTATCAACGCCGGTAGGATGATTGTGGTGGTGGCGATGATGATGTTGTTGTTGGGTTGAAATCCTCACCATCCTCGATTTAAATGCAAGAGCCATTTGTGAGCCGAGCGCAACTCATCTGAACGGCACGTGGCCAGCCAATTAGTGAACGGGTACGAGTTAACGGAGGCGCGGTGTTCGTTTCGGAGCCCCGAACGCTTGAAGCCGGAGAGCGAACGGTTTTCAGGAATGACATTTAACGGCAGTGACCGTAAGCCATTGCTCGCACCTGGCCCCGAGGCAATCACCATTGCGGTGGGGGTGTGGGGGGGGCACATGTGTGGGAAATTATCTGCAGGGCATATAATTGTTCATGGGTCACTTTTCAAACCTTCCTGCCCTCTGTCACGCTGCGTGTGTTATGCCCGAACACATGCACTGCATCTGCACGCAAAGCTCTCTCTCACTCTCAGCTATTTGAACTTGGAGAGGCTTATGCGGGCAGATTCTCTTTGCGGGCGCCTATTCGGGCCGGCGGGATGCCGGTTTTGTTTCGCCCGCGCTTACGCGAACGTCGCCGACACGCCACGGTCCTTACTGTGTGCGTTGCTTTCCGTCAACTATGGTTCTGAATTATTTGGTTCTTTCGGTAAAGTCACGTAGGTGGAAAAAATAATAATAACAAAATAAAATAAATGAAATCACGACGTTTCGATTGCAACACAAGCAATCGTCATCATGTGTTGCAATCGAAACGTCGTGATTCAATTTATTTTATTTATTATTATTTTTCCACCTACGTGACTTTACCGAAAGAACCAAAGAATATGGATCCTTGCAGTCACAAAAACTTCAAATATAAAATATGGTTCCAAACCCTGTAGTCATAGTTACGGCACGAGAATTATATAGCTGTCAGTGCCACCAGCCTGTGTCAAGATAAGGGATCCCAGGATAATAAGAATATCACAAAAATACTTCTGTAGATACACCTTCAGCCACACGAGGCGTACAACATTATACAAGGCCCTGCTGGCGTGTTCATTGCACGTCCAACGAATTGACGCTCAAAAAATGGAATGAGCTGAATAACGCTTAAAGCCAGATTCAATGTGCTGGGGTTTTTTGTGTTTGTGCAGCCATTGGTGGCCAGGCTGAGAACATCAAATCTCTACGCTGAGAACCCCGGCTTACCCTCCAATTACCACGGTTGGCTACGTACGGTGCAAAAGAAGATCAACGAAGGGCAGCCAAAACCTTGATTCAAAACGCCAGGATGTCAGCTGTGCCGCCAGAGTGCCCGAGCGCCACCCGACCACCGACCAAGGACCGTAGCAGCGGTCCAGGTCACGAGGTTGATGTTCAACCTCAGGGATCGGATACGAATTGCCACAGGCATGCATGGCCGGGAATGAAACCCGGGTCTCTAGCCGTGCTGGCCGTGTGTTCATTGCCACGTGGCCAGCCTGTGGATGAGGTAGCTGAGGGCCACCAAGACACCTTCACTTGAGTCAATACTCTGATTAATAAGGTAGAGGCGCAGCCCTGCTATTGGTTGCTTACTCCACTGCTGGCGCAACGACCACCAACTAGAGGGTGCTCTAGACTGCAGTGGTTCTCAGCCGGGGGTTACACTCGGACCCCTGGGGGTAACGTGGCAATGTCTCAAGGGGTACGTGAGGTGATTGCTACATGTGTGAAATTATATCGTACGTGAGAGTCATTGGTGAATAATGATGTATGAATCTGCCAATATGATATAATTATCATACAATTTAAGGCTATATGGTAACCTAGAACGATATGAAAGACCTTTCCAAACACCTTGATCATCAACAACACGGATTTCCAAGAGTAACCAGCGAGCGAGAACACATCACGTCACGCGCGCAGAGCATCCGATGCATTTTAGTTGTATTCGCTTGCAGTTCCTAGCTAGTTAAGTAGGATACCTCGCAAAATGGACAATCGGTTAACATATTGACGTTCATTATTCATACATTTATTTCTTAGAACCACGCTGGGTCAGACTCGGTTGAAACAAGATTCAACAAGGTGGGGTACAGCAATATCCATAAAAGGTTGAGAATCTCTGCTTTAGAGAGCCCCCCCCTCCACCCCGAAGGGTACTTGGCCTACTCTTCTATACTCGTCAGGCATGGAAGAGGTGGCAGTGCACACAGTTTACACCACCACACACTGTGATGCACAGTTATGCTACTGGGTAGACAGAGGTGACGGGGTGAGGGGTGTGGGGGGGACGGCAGCGGGGGGATTTCAGAACCTTACCACATTGTTACGTCTGCCGCGCCGGGAGATGGAATCGAATCCCGGAGACATAAGTCCAGCGGCAGGGCCCCGTGATGAGTTTTGTTCGTCACGATTCACGGCCAACCCTCCGGCTGTCTCTATGCGCGTGCGTGAATCGGGTTTGGAAGGCAAGGCTTGGTGGGTCATATTGATGAAACGCCCAAAGCATCAGGGCTGCAATGTGACCGCCAGGCTGTATCTACAGCACGTGGTCTAGTGAACCCCTCTGTGCGCGAACCATCAAGCGTTATCTCCCCACACGCACGTGGGCGTCCACCGGGCACTCCCATTCCCTGTCACGCAACGCCCACGCGAATAGAGTTCGCCAAACATCTCAAATTCAGTGCCCTCTTGACGGCGGATCCTCGCAACTCGCAACATTTGACGGAGTCGACTTCGTTCGCAGCTGGACCTGTGGCACCCAAGCAGCGGCGACCTCATCCACCCGGGCGCCCCCACCGACTTCCGCGTCCCCCGCTCCGTCGTGGCCGGATCGGGCCGCGGAGGACGTGGAGCCTCGCTGAGCTCCGAGGAAGTCAAGGCCTTCCTGTCGCGTGCCAACGTCTCGCACACGTGGGTGCCGCTCGCGACCTCGTGAATTCACGTGGCGACCACGGGGATTTTTTATTTATTTTGTCAAAATGCATCCGTCTAATTATTTTTATTCAAACTTTATCTATAATGTGCTCTCTCTGTATTTATGTTACGTGAGGAAGTATCTTATTTGTTAAAGAATGATTCATGGAAGTGGGTATCACAGAACTACTCCTGATTTCCCTTAAAATGACCTCTGGTCCACTCGACAGAGGGTGGCACAAGTCTCTTCAGTAGAAACCTACTGCTGTAGCAGGCTATATATATAAAACTATCTACATGAGGGTTTTATATATCGCCAACTACGAGTTTTCATTGCATGTCAATCACAGTCAAATTGTGCAACCGTCCCCCGTAACGGCCCCCCAACAACATCGGCATTCCCTACCCCCCCCCTACACGCTGACGTCAATCCCTGGGACCGAGTTGACCGGGAGTAACCCCGAGGTGTAGAGAGAGGGGGGGTTGGTGGCTCGGAATAAGAAGAGAGGGATGAGGGGAGGGAATGGGAGTGGGGCCGTGGTGGTGGTGAAAGGAGACAAGAGAGAGATAAAGAGCTGTGGATGAAGGAAAGATAGAGCTGTTAATGAAGGAGGGAGAGCTTAATATGAAGGAGAGCTGTGGATGAAGGTGAGAGATTGCTGTGAATGAAGGAGAGAGCTGTTGATGAAGGTGAGAGAACGCTGTGGATGAAGGAGGGAGAGAGCTGTAGATGAAGGAGGGAGCTGTGTGTGATAGGCAAGGTAGAATAAAAGTGCTGGAACCCTTACCTGTCTTCTGCGTGTTGGTGAGGAGAGTGCACGCTACACTTGTAACAGAAGGCACGGATGAGAGGAGGGTTGCAGCATTTGACATTTTGTTGACTGAATGAATAACAATAATAATGCCTGGCCATCTGTCCATCCATTGCTGGATGAACGCCCCCCCCGAGGCCGGTATATCCACAACACACCACTTGTTGATCTCCCACAAAGTGGTACGCATTTTACCCCCTTGAAGAGGGATGATGGGCTAAGTCAGCCCCTGATCAAAATTTAACTCGCAGCACTTCCTTTAGGGCCAGGCGCTCGATCCGCGATACCACCCGACAACATGGCCATGAAGTACCGATGATCCGTAATATCGATGACATCAGCACACATATTCGACGGTGCATAGAAGAGCATTGATGATGATGATGCTTCTTCTGCTGATGACAACGATGTTGGTGGTGATATCGATGGCAGGGTTCTGATGGACGATGTCCAGAAGGTGATCGATGCCCAGCTCAAGACCTCTACCAGAGACAAGAGGAATGCCCGGGGTTACAACTACAATGTGTACCACCCCCTGGAGGAGGTGCGCCGCTCACCTCGTCACGGCTCTGGTCTCACGCATTCATGGCGATTAGCAGTGCTCGATTAAGTCAGCGGCTGAACGGGTGGAAGGCTGTGACATACATTTTTTAATGGCCCAAATTACTCTCACACACGCACACGCACGCACACAGATGCACCAGGGGACCCCCAGTGGCAGCGGGCCCCGTGCGGTGCAAGGTGCTCGCTCACAGCACTTGCCCCAACAGTCTGTTAAGGCTATACGGGGGATCTTTGTCTTTGTTTCTGTGTGCATGTGCAGATTGTGGCGTGGATGTCAGACGTCGCGGAACAGAATCCTGCACTGGTCTCGCGCATTCTCATCGGAAAGTCTTACGAGGGGAGGCCTCTGTACATTCTTCAGGTAAAGCGGCCAAGTAATGTGCCTGAGCTGCAGGCTCAATGTCTCTTGCGGCTGGCCCGCTGTGGAGCACCACGGTGGCTAGGAGATGTTGACTACCTCACCTGGTATGCAGGAGGTCGTCGGTTCGATCCCGACCCTGATGCCTGCTGTATATTTGGCGTTTGCGTGTCTCCCTCAACGTGGTCACGTTTGCTCTTCTCTGGGACCTCCATTTTTTCCCCCTGCACATTTATAATCAAAACGCGTTCAGATTATTTGGCTTGAGAGACACGTGAAAAGCCACTTCGTTGAATTATCTTTTGTGATAGCCAGGTCCCGTTGAAAAAGAGGGATATAGAGTAGCTCAGTCGGCCTTAGATCGCATAAATATATAAATGTGTCGTTAAAACCCGCCACCACCTGACACAGCCAACTAGTAAGGGTTGCCACGTAAACAGAACATGCCAATTACAATCTGAGTACGGCGTTCCACCAGGAATTACAACTAGCTTCATCAGGCGACAACCAGATTTGTGGAGAAGTCCACCTGTTTCGTTCCTTATATAGAGGCGTAGATATTCTGCGCTCTTGCGCAGAAGTGTGAGTCAACAGACATTATCCATGCGCAGTATGCAAAGCCTACGTGTTAAACTGACTTTAGTTTAAATACCGAGTTACTCCATCGCCAGCTGCACTGTCATGGGGTAGCACCGTTTGGTCTGCATTCCGAGTGCGCGGCCCAGGCCGCTTTTGAAAATGAACTACTACGTAGCTCGGTATATAAACTACGTAGCTCATTGGGCCTTACCTTTTAAAGTAAAAATAGTGACTTTTCTTTTGTGTTGTGCGCGGCACATTTAGCGTCACAGCACGTGGATTTATAGCGTTTGTTATTTGTTTGCTGGTGACTTTGTGTATTTCGTATCGGAATCGCCTCCAGTGCTGTTGCTGCTGGCGGCAATAAAAGTTGTTTAAAAGTTAAAAGTCTCTCTGTCCCTCTGTGTGTCTCATCCCATCTCACTCTCTCTCTCTTTTTGTCCCTCTGTGTGTCCCATCCCATCTCATTCTCTCTGTCTCTCCTTCTTTCTCGCTCTCCTCTGTCCAGGTGGGGAAAAAGAAAGGTGGGACGAAGCCCTCGGTGTGGATCGACTGCGGGATGCATGCGCGCGAGTGGATCAGCCCGGCCTTTTGCCAGTGGTTCGTGAAGGAGGTGCAGCTTTTGTGTGATTGGGTCTGTTTGTCTCGCAGATCGCCTCTCCTACCTCTCCCATTTCGTCTCACTCTACTCCCCTCCACGCACTCTCCTACCTCTCCCCTCTCATCTCACTCTACTCCCCTCCACGCACTCTCCTACCTCTCATCTCACTCTACTCCCCTCCACGCACTCTCCTACCTCTCCCCTCTCATCTCACTCTACTCCCCTCCACGCACTCTCCTACCTCTCCCCTCTCATCTCACTCTACTCCCCTCCACGCACTCTCCTACCTCTCCAATCTCGTCTCACTCCACTCCCCTCCACTCACTCTCCTACCTCTCCCCTTTCATCTCACTCTACTCACCTCCATGCACTCTCCCTCTTGTAATGATATGAGAGCATCTGCTGGGCTAATGTGTGGTGGCGGGTTAATGTGTGATCGTGTGTTAATGTGTGGTTGTGTGTGAACGTGTGGTTGTGTGTTAACATGTGGTTGTGTGTTAATGTGTGGTCGTGTGTTAATCTGTGGTTGTGTGGTAATGTGTAGTCGTGTGTTAATCTGTGGTTGTTTGTTAATATGTGGTCGTGTATTATTCTGTGGTTGTTTGTTCACGTGTGGTTCTGTTAATGTGTTGTTGTGTGTTAATCTGTGGCTGACCACCCCCGTGCCCTCCCTCCTTCACCCCCCTACCGCCCCATCCCACCCCCTGCCGCCCCTCGCCTCCAGGCCATACGCACCCAGCGCAGTGACCCGGCCATGCGCCGTCTACTCAACCGCCTCGACTTCTACGTGATGCCCGTGCTCAATGTGGACGGCTACGCCTACAGCTGGAACAAGGTCAGTCGCTCAGTATCAGGGCGCCACGGTGGCGAGATGTTAACTCCCTCGTCTGGTATGCAGGAGGTCGTGGGTTCGATCCCGAGCCTGACGCCTGCTGTATATTTGGAGTGTGCGTGTCTCTCTATCCCCGTGGCCACGTGCATTTTTCTCCAGGTCCTCTGGTTTTTCCTTCCACGTTCAGAAACGATGTCATGCGTTTAGAGTCTTTGGCGGCTATACATTTTCACGCAATGATATGCCACTTCGTTGAGCTATTACCTGTGATAACACTGAGCTATTATCTTCTGAAAAAGAGCTAATAGCTCAGTGTGCCTTACCTGGAAACATAAAATAGTTTACTTTAGTTCACATTGCCGCTGAGAACCTCCGTTCAATGGGGTGAGGTGGGGGTAGCTCTTTCTCATTAGCTGTCTCCACTATCTACAACTGCCCCCTCCACCCCCCCCGATCGTCTGCACTGTGGATTCCTTTCAACTGGGTCCAGGTTCAAGGCCGCACCAGCCCGGCGCTAGTGTGGCGCCGGGCCATGCACCGCCAAATGTCGCTTTGGCCCAGCTCCCGTTCACTCTCCTCCTAGAGTGGTCATTCATTTGCCTGCTATGGTGGCCCTCGCATCAGCCTTCATAGACTGTTGGGACAAGTGCTGTTAGCGAGCGCCTGTGAAGGATGGCATGGCACCGAGGGGGGTCGGCAAGCCAGCACCATGTTCTAGTGTGCCGTGCCAGCCTTCATAGGTGCTCGCTAACAGCACTTGCCCCAACAGTCTGTTAAGGTTATACGGGGGATCTTTGTTTCATGTGCAGCTGGTCACCAAACAACGTGTGCGAACAGTCAATGATGCTTTGGTGGACCACCGTATGTCCTTCAGGACAGCATTGGAGTGTAACTCGTGTGTCCGTGCCACGAGATAAACCGTTTTGAGTCGCGAAGCGCGGATGACAAACGACGCGAGACACGCACGACACCAGCGTCGTTCCGGACGTGAGGCCCCACGAGTCTCCGCGTTCCCTTCGTCCCCCGGGCGAAGCGGAGGCCTCGTGAGCCGCACGCGTCACCACGCTGCCCCGTGTGTCCCCTCTGCCTCCTCGCCCCCTCGGCAGGATCGCCTGTGGCGGAAGACGCGATCCAAAACGTCACGCAAAGGCTGCCTGGGAGCGGACGCCAACCGCAACTGGAACGTCGGCTGGAGCGGTACGCGGAACACGGCGCACGCGGTCACAGCTTCTGCTCCGAATAGCTTCGTGAAAACCCCTCTGCAGGATCGGTGTGGAGTCTCCACCACCCTTGGCCGGAAGCCACTCGGTGGAGGTGGCCATGTCACGCTCGCTCGCCTCGACCAACGGCTTGCACAAGATGTGGGTTCATTTCTCAAAGTAAAAACCCAAACGTTGGAAGCGCTCCATAATCACGCGGTTTCCGCGAAATGTAATAGGTGAAAAATATCAACGACGCAACGTGCCGGAGCCTTTAAGTTTATACTCGGCCGAGTATTTTTAAGCTAAATATTGGTAACACATTTCATGTTTCCATGAATTGTGTCTAACCGCCGGCTATGTATACACACGTGAAACTCGGCTGCGTGATTCCAGGATGGTTTACAATATAATATTCATTAGAACAGTTTTTTTTTTTACTTCATGTGCATTCCCTGCACCCAGTTTTCAGGAACACACTTTAACCGCCGCACTGTACTTGTGGATTTTTTCTCAAATCGTGATGTTTTTTTCTGCGCTGATATTTCCACGTTTTTATTTTGACAATTGAGAAAGGGAGAAAACACGATTCGAATGCTCACGAAAAACAGGAATAAAAAAACAACAGTCTGCGTGCCTTCCTGCTCAAACGAGTGCTCGGAATTCCACATTCCCATGGCAAGAAAGCACAACTTGTCCATAGGCAATGAGCCGAGTCCTCATCAAGATGCGTGTGTGCGTGCGTATCCTGAGTGGTTCACCCACTTAGTGAAAGTGTTTTATTCCCGGCCACGGTACAACCTCAGTGGCATTCACCCGAACCTGTGCTGGCGGGGTGGGAGCGGGGGGTGGTGGTCTCCGCTAGTTCGACTTAGCCTTAAATGAGTGCGGCGTGCTAACATCGGCAGTATGGGAGACCAGGCGGCCGGACGTGGTGTTGGCTACCCTACACGGTGGGAGAGGGGGAGTGGGGGGTGGAGGGGGGGGATGGGTGAGGAATGGGGGAGTGGAGGGTGGGGGGGTTGGGGGGGTGGAGGGCGAGGGGGGAGTAGGGGGTGGGGAGGTGGAGGGGGGATGGGGGGGAGGGTGGGTGGTGGGAGGGAAGGGAAGTGGGTGGTAGAGGGGGGTATGGGGGGGTGGAGTGGAGGCCGGAATAGAGGGTGGAGGGGGGATGGGTGGTGGGAGGGAGGAGAGTGGGGGAAGTGGGGGGTGGGGGGGGTGGAGGGTGGGGGGGGGTGGAGGGTGGGGGGTGGGGGGGTGAAGGGTGGGGGGGTAATCAGCGTCTGCGGCGCTCGTCCCAGGAGCGGGCGCCTCCGTGCACCCGTGCGATGAGACGTACTGCGGGGGCCGCCCCGAGTCGGAGCCCGAGGTGAAGGCGGCAGCGCGCTTCCTGAAGCGCCAGCGGCGGCTCCTCCGCGCCTACGTGACGGTGCACGCCTATGCCCAGCTGCTCCTCTACCCATACGCGCACCGCCGCAGCGCCATCCCCAACCGTCACTGCGTGGTGAGAGAGCGCGACGCCGCCACCGCCATCGCCGCCACCGCCGGCATCACCACTACCACCGCCATCGCCACCGTCGTGCACCGCATCGACAGGGCCCCGAAGACCTCGCCACCAGGGCCAGGACTTCGTTGTAACCAAGGCTTGCCTGGGTTGGTGACCCGGGATGTATTTATCCATCATCATCATTAATTCATATCTGCCCGACGCCTCCCGTGCAATGTAATGTCAATAGCCATTTAAGGAACGCTAAATCATCTCGCATGCGCAGTGCTCTTTGAGGTCTCTCTTGAAGGGGTTTGAACTCGGGGCTCATGAACCACATCTCAACACGCCGGAGCCAAAGCGGCATGTGAGATCATCTCTGAGCGCCAAAGTGACTGCAGGCCGAATGGTCACGAACGATGCGGACAGTGCACGAAGCCAGACGAGAGAATGACATTGAAAATATTGCACGTGATTCGGCCTTCTCCACGTTTGTGTCCGCTTCATTAAAATGATAAATACACTTGCACACGGAACACCACATCCAGTAGGTTCTCTCGCTATGGCTGCTACTCAGTGCCACCCGTGGCTGCCAGTCTGTGAAGGGTGAAATACAGCTCTGGTCCTGACCCATCATGCGCTGCACTAACAAGACCCACCACGCATTTGTGTGTGCCGCTATGCTCACACGTGTATATGTGTGCATGTGTGTGCACGCGTGTGTAAGTGTGCGGCAGGGATGGGTCGTTGTAGCGGTTCGCGCTATGCTGCATTACGAACCTAGCGTACCGAGTTCGATTCTCACTCATGGTCAACACCAGTGACAATTATCTGAACCGGTTCTCGGCCTCCCCTAGGTCGACTCATCCTCAAATGAGTATCAGGTGCAGTGTGTAAACATCATAAGCACTGGGGAGACAAAGGCAGACGGCTGTGGTGCTGGCCACCCACCCCCTCGTGTGCCATGCCAGCCTTCATAGGTGCTCGCTAACAGCACTTTCCCCAAAATTCTGTGAAGGCTACACGGGGGATCTTCATCTTTGTGTCTGTATATTTACGAGTGACACAACGTACCCAGGCTGTAGGTGATGGAATGACGGAGCAACATGTAATTGTGAACATTCGTTCACACTTGTATTGCAATCTCTGGCCAGTGTGCTCGTGACCTACTCCCGTTCGGCGGTGGTAGGTCTCAGAATCAGTCGAGCGCCATGCCCTCTTATCACCATCGGCTGTGGAAGCGATGCTCTGTGTGGAAGCCGCGTGGCCTGTCGCTCCACACGAAGGTGCCGTGTATTGTCAGCCACGGCTATTGCCTCTCTTTACGCCTGTGGAAGAAAATGTAGATCCCATTCAAGGGAGACCCCGTGCCAGATTAAAACAATTCAGACCGACCTGCCAACGATCCATCCTGGGTTCGTCCAGTTGAGATTATGTGAGGTCACGGATCCTTGAAAGATCTCGGGCACTGTTCCATTAGATCTTCTTTGGTTCTTTCGGTAAAGTCACGTAGAATGAGAATAAAATAATAATTTCAGCTGAAATTTGAGAGCTCCTTGTTCCTCTCACACAGCTTAAAAGCCGTGATCTGAACGTGGCTCTCTCACTCCAGCGCTGTCCTACCAGACAGTCTCGCCCCTTCACCTGATGAAGGCCGCTTGTGTCGTGGCCGAAACGTCGTGAGAATATTATTGTGTTATTTTATTTTATCAATTTATTATTTTATTCTCATTCTACGTGACTTTACCGAAAGAACCAAAGAAGATGAATCATTGCAGTCACGAAAGCTTTAAATCGAAATGTTCCATTAGAATTTAGCTCCTCCATCGGGTGCGGATGTGCTGGCAGGGTGATGCAGCCCATATGCCCAGGCACCTCATGCCAAAGCAGTTTATTTCGGTGTTTGTGTGTGGAGTGTGTGTATACGAGTATGAACGAGTGTATGTGTGTATATATTCGGGTGTGCCCAATTCCCACTTACGACTAACGTCAGTGACAAGTGTCTACACCAGTCCTGGGCCTCCCACTCGTCGACTCAGCTTCACATGAGTACCTCGAGGCGATGTTTACACACCGCACCAGTGATCTGGTGTGGTGTGTAAACATCAGCACGATAGAGACAAAGGCGGCCGGGCGTGATGCTGGCCACACACCCCCTCGTGCGCCGTGCCGGTCTTCATCGGTTGCTCCTCGCGAACAGCACTTGCCCCAACAGTCTGTCAAGGCTACACGGGGGACCTTTGTCTGTCCTACGTTGTGGGCACTAGGAGCTGGTGGCCAATGAAGCGGTGTTGGCGCTGCACGCCGTGAACGGCAGCAAATACGACTACGGGCCCGCCTCCTCCACCATGTGTGAGCCACACACTCGCAGTGACACACTCGCACCGAAACACTCGCGGTGGCACACTCGCACCGACACACTCGCAGCGACACACTCGCAGTGAAAAACTCGCACAGACACACTCGCAGCGACACATTCACACCGACACACTCGCAGTGACACACTCGCAGTGACAAACTCGCACAGACACGCTCGCAGCGACACATTCACACCGACACACTCGCAGTGACACACTCGCACCGACACACTCGCAGTGACACATTCGCAGTGACACACTCGCACCGACACACTCGCAGTGACACATTCACACCGACACACTCGCAGTGACACACTCGCAGTGACAAACTCGCACAGACACGCTCGCAGCGACACATTCACACCGACACACTCGCAGTGACACACTCGCACCGACACACTCGCAGTGACACATTCGCAGTGACACACTCGCACCGACACACTCGCAGTGACACATTCACACCGACACACTCGCAGTGACACATTCACACCGACACACTCGCAGTGACACATTCGCAGTGACACATTAGCAGTGAAATTCTCACGGGGACACATTCGCACTGGACGCAACAGAGACACGCTGGATCGACACAGAAACACCCTGTACACAACAGAGGCACCCAGGATGGAACAGGCACGGTCTGCACACTGCAGACACACACACCCTGTACACAACACACACACCCGGCACACTGCAGACACACACACACCCTGTACGCAACAGAGACACACACACACCCTGTACACAACACACACCCTGCACACTGCAGACACACACACACACCCTGTACACAACACACACCCTGTACACAACACACACCCTGTACACTGCAGACACACACACCCTGTACACTGCAGACACACACACCCTGTACACAACACACACCCTGTACACAACACACACACCCTGCACACAACACACACACCCTGTACACTGCAGATACATAACACACACACACTGTACACAACACACACCCTGCACACTGCAGACACACACACCCTGTACACAACACACACACCCTGTACACTGCAGACACACACACCCTGTACACAACACACACACCCTGTACACAACACACACACCCTGTACACAACACACACACCCTGTACACAACAGAGACACACACCCTACACACCCTGTACACAGCACACACACACCCTACACACTGCAGACACACACACCCTGTACACACTGCAGACACATACACACCCTGTACACAACACACACACCCTGCACACTGCAGACACACACACCCTGTACACAACACACACCCTGTACACAACAAAGACACACACACACCCAGTACACAACACACACACCCTGCACACTGCAACCACACACACCCTGTACACAACACACACACCCTGTACACAACACACACCCTGCACACAACACACACACACCCTGCACACAACACACACACACCCTGTACACAACACACACACCCTGTACACAACACACACACCCTGCACACTGCAGACACACACTCCCTGTACACAACACACACACCCTGCACACTGCAAACACACACACCCTGTACACAACACACACACCCTGTACACTGCAGACACACACACACCCTGTACACAACACACACCGTGTACACAACACACACACCCTACACACTGCAGACACACACCCTACACACTGCAGACACACCCTGTATACAACACACACACCCTGTACACAACACACACACCCTACACACTGCAGACACACACACCCTGTACACACTGTAGACACATACACACCCTGTACACAACACACACACACCCTACACACTGCAGACACACACATCCTGTACACAACACACACTCTGTACATTACACACACACCCTGTACACAACACACACCCTGTACACAACACACACACCCTACACACTGCAGACACACACACACCCTGTACACAACACACACACCCTGCACACAACTCACACACCCTGTACACAACACACACACCCTGTACACAACACACACACCCTGTACACAACAGACACACACACACACCCTGTACACAACACACACCCTGCACACTGCAGACACACACACCCTGTACACAACACACACACCCTGTACACTGCAGACACACACACCCTGTACACAACACACACACCCTGTACACAACACACACACCCTGTACACAACACACACACCCTGTACACAACAGAGACACACCCTACACACCCTGTACACAGCACACACACACCCTACACACTGCAGACACACACACCCTGTACACACTGCAGACACATACACACCCTGTACACAACACACACACCCTGCACACTGCAGACACACACACCCTGTACACAACACACACCCTGTACACAACAAAGACACACACACCCAGTACACAACACACACACCCTGTACACAACAGACACACACACACACCCTGTACACAACACACACCCTGCACACTGCAGACACACACACCCTGTACACAACACACACACCCTGTACACTGCAGACACACACACCCTGTACACAACACACACACCCTGTACACAACACACACACCCTGTACACAACACACACACCCTGTACACAACAGAGACACACCCTACACACCCTGTACACAGCACACACACACCCTACACACTGCAGACACACACACCCTGTACACACTGCAGACACATACACACCCTGTACACAACACACACACCCTGCACACTGCAGACACACACACCCTGTACACAACACACACCCTGTACACAACAAAGACACACACACCCAGTACACAACACACACACCCTGCACACTGCAACCACACACACCCTGTACACAACACACACACCCTGTACACAACACATACACCCTGCACACAACACACACACACCCTGCACACAACACACACACACCCTGTACACAACACACACACACCCTGTACACAACACACACACCCTGCACACTGCAGACACACACTCCCTGTACACAACACACACACCCTGCACACTGCAAACACACACACCCTGTACACAACACACACACCTTGTACACTGCAGACACACACACACCCTGTACACAACACACACCGTGTACACAACACACACACCCTACACACTGCAGACACACACCCTACACACTGCAGACACACCCTGTATACAACACACACACACCCTGTACACAACACACACACCCTACACACTGCAAACACACACACCCTGTACACACTGCAGACACATACACAACCTGTACACAACACACACACACCCTACACACTGCAGACACACACATCCTGTACACAACACACACTCTGTACATTACACACACCCTGTACACAACACACACCCTGTACACAACACACACACCCTACACACTGCAGACACACACCCTGTACACAACACACACACCCTGCACACAACTCACACACCCTGCACACAACTCACACACCCTGTACACAACACACACACCCTGTACACAACAGACACACACACACCCTGTACACAACAGAGACACACACACCCTGTACACAACACATACACCCTGCACACTGCAGATACACACACCCTGTACACAACACACACCGTGTACACAACACACACACCCTACACACTGCAGACACACACACCCTGTACACAACCCACACACCCTGTATACAACACACACACCCTGTACACAACACACACACCCTGTACACAACAGAGACACACCCTGCACACTGCAGACACACACACACCCTGTACACAACACACACACTGCAGATACACACACACACCCTGTACACAACAGAGACACACACACCCTGTACACAACAGAGACACACCCTGCACACTGCAGACACACACACACACCCTGTACACAACAGAGACACACACACCCTGTACACAACAGAGACACACCCTGCACACTGCAGACACACACACACACCCTGTACACAACAGAGACACACACACACCCTGTACACAACAGAGACACACCCTGCACACTGCACACACACACACACCCTGTACACAACAGAGACACACACACACCCTGTACACAACAGAGACACACCCTGCACACTGCAGACACACACACACTGTACACAACAGAGACACACACACCCTGTACACAACAGAGACACACCCTGCACACTGCAGACATACACACACACCCTGTACACAACAGAGACACACACACACCCTGTACACAACAGAGACACACCCTGCACACTGCAGACACACACACACACACACCCTGTACACAACAGAGACACACACACCCTGTACACAACAGAGACACACCCTGCACACTGCAGACACACACACACACACACTGTACACAACAGAGACACACACACCCTGTACACAACAGAGACACACCCTGCACACTGCAGACACACACACACACCCTGTACACAACAGAGACACACACACACCCTGTGCACAACAGAGACACACCCTGCACACTGCAGACACACACACACACCCTGTACACAACAGAGACACACACACCCTAGCCGCAGCCGTGCGCGCCCTTCGTGACGCAGCCACACAGATCGACGTCCGCACGTCAACACCGCGTGCGCACGGAGGGAAGCTGTCACTTGCGGGAACCACGACGAGTTTCCCCCTCAAGTCAACGTAAACTTGACCCCTGCTGAACCAACGCCTGGTCCATTACTCACTGAGCAGCGCTGTAAACTCATGTATTTGCCTACCTTGATGGCATTGTTTACGTGCGTGTGTGCGCGTATTGTAGGGAGCGGTGGTGTTAGCGGTTAGCGCTACGCTGCGCTACGAACCCGGCGACCCGAGTTCAATTCCCGCGCACGGCCGACATGGGTGACAATTATCTGACCCAGTCCTGGGCCTCCTCCCCTAGGTCGACTTAGCCTCAAATCAGTTACCTGGTGCGGTTTGTAAACATCGCCACTAGGAGAGACAAAGGCGATCGGGCGTGGTGCTGGCCACCAGCCCCTCGTGTACCGTCCCGGCTTCATAGGTGCTCGCTAACAGCGCTTGCCCCAACAGTCTGCTGAGGCTACACGGGGGATCGTTGTATTCAATTCGT